ATTAGTGGATCTGGGGCTGCTTTCCATGGCTTGAGTGTTGTGTAATTTCACCAGAAAGGAGGGCCCCAGGCGAAATCACAGCTTTTCAGCAAGCCTGAAGGTCACTTCCCCCAATGTGGGAGGGGGGGGGGACAAAAGCCGCAAGAAAGTAACCTAAGCACTATCAAGGAAGTCGCCAAGGGAGAAATGAGCTTGTAAAAATATCATCCTAACATCCACACAGAACTGTTCCTCGGAAGACAGTGAGGTCAGTGTCCCCTTTAAGGTAGTTTTTACTTTGCCCTCGCTAGAACTGTTCTACCATCTATTTCTTCTCCAATACAAACACACTAAGAGAAAGACGCTTTAGCCAATGCAGGCACATTTTTTAGAGATTCATCCCACCAAGATAAATCACTAGCCATCTGAAACCCACAAAAATGGATTAACTATCTCCTGCCTCAGGACTGTGAAAACCCACATCTGCTAACCACATTCCCAATGGGAAGCAGCTGGGGACAGTTTTGTAACTGTGACTTTCTTTATAGGAAAATATTAGCAAGGACAGGCTGAGCAATTTAGTTTCGTTGAATCCACTTAGTTATGGAAAATCACCAGTGCTTTTTATTGACAATTATGGAAATTACATAATTTGCCATGAAATTCAAATAAGATCTAAAAATAAATGTCCACTTTCTTTCCCCTCCTCATCAGTCCTAACCATTTTCAGTGCCTCACACACTTCACAGTCCGTAACTCAGTAAGTTCTCTCTTTCCCCAGCAGCCACTGAGTCAACATGTGTGATATATATATTTTACCTCTTGGGCATTTTTTTTTCCAAGACAGTGTTTCTTTGTGTAGCCTTGGCTGTTCTAGAACTCACCCTGTACACCAGCTTGGCCTCCACCTCTCAGAGATTTGCCTGACTCTCTGCAGGGGATTAAAGGCATTCACCACCACTACCTGTCTCTTGAGCTATCTTGATGGCTTATTTTTTTGGTTAAAAAAAATGCACCCCAAAATGAAAACCAGGAGGGTATAGTCACACATGCCTTTAAACTCAGCACCTGCAAGGCAGGTGAATCTTAGCAAGTCTGAGGCCAGCCTGGGCTACACAGTGAGTGCCTATTTCAAAACCAAACAAAAAAATCCAACAACAACAAAAAAAACCAGAATCAAGCTAGCACTCACTGTGTAGCCACCCCCTCCTGGCCTTGAACTTGTGATATTTGCCTGTCACTGGACTTTTTGGTTTTTTACAACTTTAAAGTTTTACTTGTTTATTTGGGGGGCATACGGATACCACAGCACACATGTGGGAGCCAGAGGACAAACATGAGAGCTGCTTCTCTCCTTCCATCGTGTGCCCAAGGGGTTGAACTCCTCATGTCATCCAGTCTGTCCATCAGCACCTCTACCTGAGTCATCCTGCCAGCCCCAATGTGTTTTAAAACAGGGTACTCAATAGTCCTGGGTGGCTTTGAACTCGCCATAATGCTGACGATGACCTCGGACTCATCATCTCCAGCGCCTGAGTACTGGGAGGATTAAGCACAGAAATGTGCCACCACAGCTAGTGGTGCCTATGGTGTGATTGGAATAAGATTCTTCAGTGAACTGGGATGGAAGTCACTGGGGCATGACATCCTTTGACTTTCTCCCTCTCTTCTTGCTTCCTGGTCATTATGAGGTGAATATTTTTGCTCGTGAACCTGCATGATGCTCTACCTCCTCACAGGACCCCCGCAGTGGAACCAGCGGACCAAGGACTGAAAACTGTGGGCCACAAGAAACCTTTCCTCCTTTAAGTTGTCTTCCAAGGTATTTGTCAAGGCAAATAGAATGGCATCATGGGAAAATAAAATTAAAACAGGATCGTGGGGCTCGAGAGAATAAAGAGCACCGCTGCTCTTCCAAAAGACCCAGGTTCAATTGTCAGCAGCCACATGACAGCTCACAGCTGCCTGTAACTCTAGGTCCAGGGCCTCCAACACCCTCTTCGGGCTTCCATAGACACTGAACCGCATGTGGCACAGACACACATGCATGCAAAACACTCCTAAGACAAATCTAAAGTTTACTGGATTTTTAAGCACTTGGTGCTGTGGGAACTCCTTCAGCCAAGAAGAGCCTTTTAGATACCGGCCCATTTCGGGCGTGATCTGAGGCACTATAAGTGCAGATGGAAAAGCGTGCTTGGCCCCCTTTTTTTTTCCTGCTGGGTTTGGTTCTCAGCTTCCAGGGCACACAGAGAACCGTGGATCTCTACCTTTGCTGTGAGTTTTGTCCCCGAATAAACCTTTGTTATACTCCATTCAGGGCTATTGTGGAACTCTTTAATATGCCTACAACTTATAAAAAAACAAAACAGGATCATGGATGTCTTTGGGGAATCGTTTGCATGATGACACATTAAAGGGAAAAAATTCTAACACCCAACTGTCAGAAACAGGCCAATCTCTAGGAGCAGCAGAAGCTGGCCTTGAATCCAGGATTTTCTTTCTCCTACCTTCAGGTGGACAACCATGCCTGGCCTAAACAAAGTTTTGATGCCAAAAAATAAGCTTACTAAAACTCCAGAACTGGATGTTTTCTAACTTTCAGTATTCCATATTCCAAAGTTTTAGTTATTCTTAGTCTAAGTCTATGTTTTGTTATTTCCATGGCAAAGGATCAGATTACCTGCCACTATATGGGAGAAATGAGTTATTAAACCATCTGAGTAGTGTTGGCAAAAAAGACCATGTCTAGACCAGTCTCTGGTCAAAATTTTTCTGTAGAACTCAAGTAAAAACAGCAAGTTACAAACGATGCCAACGATGAAACTCTTCCAACAGCCGGTCACACAAAACCTGTGGGGGAAATGTGCACCTAATGTTATATAACACCGGTTTATCTTGCCTTCACCTAATTTCTCTGACTTGCCCCAATCCGTCTGGGCTTCATTTGTTTGTATCCAGTTCTCTACTTAGGAAGACTTTCAAGGCCTAAAGCTCTTATTTCCCATACCATTTATGGAAGTTCAAATCGCTGGCTGGAAACCTTGCAAAGGAATGCTTGCCACTTTCACAAGTATTACTTCACTCTGAGCCCTCTCCGTCAGAAACAGATCCTCTACAATCAAGAGGTTTCAAGTCCGGGTCAGTGGGCTGGGGGTATAGCTCAGTAGCGCAGTACTTACTACACATTCCGAGCTGTTCAGGCCCTAGGTTCCACCCCAGCACTACAGCGACAGTTAAGTAGGCTGAACCATAAACTAGCTTCCAGTTGACAAGGACTCCTTGACCTCTAGAGCCTGAGGGAACCAAGTGAGGTTAGTCTTGCAGCACCCTAGCCTGACTCTTCACATTCAGTGTAGACTAGTAACTTGAACTCTGGTCTTTCTTGTGTAACCATGGCTATCATGGAACTCACTAAGTAGACCAGGCTGGCCTCAAATCAGAACTATGCTTGATACATGATGCATTACCACACCCAGCTTTGAACTCTGGTCTTGTTTTTTGAGACAGGGCCTCTCTGTGTATTTCTCACTGTCCTGAACTTACTCTGTAGACCATGCTCAAACTCAGATCCATCTGTCTCTGCCTCCAATTAAAGGTGTGTGCCACTACAACCCACTTTGAACTTTGGCTTAACCACACTTTTTTTGGGGGGGGGGGGTGACAGGACGGGACGCAATGTTTCACTACATAGCCCTGCCTGGCTAGCCTGGAACACCTCTGTATCTCGTTTGTGGGATAGGCATAGGCATTCATCCTTCAGCCTGTGTTAGCCCTGAATTTGCACTCCTCCTTGCCTCTGTCTCCTTTAATTCCAGCACTTGGGAAGCAGAGACAGAAGGATCTCTGTGAGTTCGAGGTCAGCCTTGTCTACTGCATGACAGCCAAGACTGTTACATAGAGAAACCCTGTCCTATTTCAAAAAACCAAACCAACCAACCAAAGAGAACCTACTCACTGTAAGCCCTAAACAGACTAAGCAGAAGCTGGTGACTGTACACGATCTCTTCTAACCTGTTAAACTGCTCCCCACAGATCTGCCTTAAATTCTCACTTTTTTCTTTTCAGACTAGAGAGTGGGATTCATTGCAGCAGAATGCTTTCCCCCGGCACTTTACATGATGCTGCCAGAGCCCACATCCTTTCCTAACCACACAAAACTCTACAACCACTGAGATGGTAAAGAAATCCGTCTGCTTGGCTCAGGTTAACTACTGTTCTTCACGTTCTAATTTAGAGAGCAGTCACAACTGGTTAGTTGAGAACACCCCTGGGAATAACAATGTCAAAGCAGACAGAGCAGAGAGAGTGACATACACGCCTGGCTGCCTCGCAGGTCCCCACCTTGATTCTTACTCTCCAGCAAAATCCCTGCCCAATGCTTTCTTACCTTTTGAAGCTGCCATATGGCTGACAAAGGTCTAGTAGCATCTTTTTGCTAGACGTGGCACTAAGGATTGAGCCTTGCCTTGTACACGGTAGACCCCCAGCTGTGACTCCAATGGCATCTAGTTTTCAGATGGAGAATTTATGATGATGCAGTTGACGTTATTCCTTGAACTATGAAGTGGACCATGGCTGTTAGCACCCTCCGGGGTGATGCTGGAAGGCTGCAGGCTAGTAGACAGTGATACCCCAGTTCTTGGATACCTCAGAACAGACAGCATGGACTAGCTTCTTTCCTGAAACTACAGTCCAAGAACAGACAAGATTCTAAAAAGGCAGTATGAGTCTGTAGCTAGTTCAGTTCAGCTCATTACCGCAGCTACAAATACTATTGTGCGCCTGTGTATAGCACACACTGAAAGTTAGAGGACAACTTTCCAGAGATGGTTCTCTCCTTCAACCATAGGTTCTGGGGATCTAATGGTGTTATCAGGCTTGGGTGGCAAGAGCTTTTACCGACAGCCAAGCCGCTGGACCTACTTTGGAGATTTATAGAGACCTTCCATTCTGTTTCGCTCAATCAAAGGACATTCCTGCCCATTATTCTGGAAAATAATGTCTACAGTGACTAGTCCTAAAGAATAAGTTTGCTTTATTATCATGATTCTGGGGAAGACAAACAAACAAACAACAGGGTGGACAGTTCAAGAAAAGAGACACAGGCCGGGCGGTGGTGGCGCACGCCTTTAATCCCAGCAGTCGGGAGGCAGAGGCAGGCGGATCTCTGTGAGTTCGAGACCAGCCTGGTCTACAAGAGCTAGTTCCAGGACAGGCTCCAAAACCACAGAGAAACCCTGTCTCGAAAAACCAAAAAAAAAAAAAAAAGAAAAGAGACACACAATGCCCTATTTTTAAGTTCCAAATTTCTTCTTTTTGATGGGTGGTGGGAGCTGAGCAATGATGTCATCCAGGGGTCGTTCTACTGCCACAAGTGTCCTTTCATCCAAGAGATCCATGAAGAGTAAGGGCTGCAGGAGAGAACAGTGACATCGACAGATGGCATCATCATCGCTCTCCACCAGTCAAGAGTCCAAGGACACAAATCCCTGCCAATCCTCCCTGCTCTCGGACTCAGCACTTCAGTGGAGCTGGCTTATAAGGAGTATGACTGCGGAACCTGAATTGGGCCAGACAGCCGTAGTAGCATAAGCTCAATGGACAACTGGTTTTATAGACACTGAGAATATTCACCAGAAAAAAGAAAATCATGCAAGTTCAATAATTTCCATTACTTTTAATTCTTTTTTTTTTAAATATTTTTTTATTTTATTTATTTATTATGTGTACAGCATTCCTTCCATGTGTGCCCGCAGGCCAGAAGGGGGCGCCAGGTTTCATCATAGATGGTTGTGAGCCACCATGTGGTTGCTGGGAATTGAACTCAGGACCTCTGGAAGAGCAGTCAGTGCTCTTAACCGCTGAGCCATTCCTCCAGCCCCCTACTTTTAATTCTTAAAACATTCTTTAATCAGAAGTTTCACCGAGAAGAATATTCATATTAAGAAACCCCACATGAGCACCAAGATTACTACAAATTTCTCTCACATAGGGAAGTATGATTTGCCTGCCTCTAACTTACTGAGTCAAAAACAACAAAACATAGCTACAGATACAGATAACTTCAAGGCCACTAGTCTCCACCAAGTCAGGGTCTCTACATGCAAAGGAAAATACACTAGTTTCTCAATTGTTAGTTATTATATTTTGATAACATCCCAGGGAAGCAACCATCCAAAATACAAAAAGAACTGTTTACCTTATATATCTTAGAAATTTTAAATGCATGGGCTGTGCGCCTCAGGAAGACATCTGATTCATTTTTGGGAGGAAGTGGATTATAGAGCACAGTTTTGTCGTTTGGAAGTGGCTAAAAGACAAAGATATGTTATTTATTTACTTGGGTGTATAAGGGGTCAAGCCTAGGTATTCACACACAAGAGTACTTGAACGACATCTCCAATCTTTCAGTTGTTTATTACTTCATGAGAGTTTCACTAAGGTGCCCAGGCTGCCCATGAATTCACTCTTTGCCCTTGAATTTGTGTTGCTCCTGCCCCAGTCTTCTGTGGTAACTGGACTACAGGCTTGAAGCACAAGGCCCAACAAGACATGCTACTTGAACTATTACTTTATTGTCTGATATTTTTTTGTTGTTGTTGTTTAATTTTCGAGACAGGGCTTCTCCATAGCTTTTTGGTTCCTGTCCTGGAACTAGCTCTTGTAGACCAGGCTGGCCTCTGCCTGATCCACCTGCCTCTGCCTCCCGAGTGCTGGGATTAAAGGCATGCGCCATCCCCCCCTCACCCCCGGCTTGTCTGGAATTTTTAAGACCAGGTGTTTGATCCTTAGCACCATAAAAACAGAAGAGCAAATGTTATTTTCATTGCCCTTTATGGACCCAGTTCACTAGTTTCTTTGTTTGGTTTGGTTTGAGACAAAGTATCATTGTAGTTCTCTTGATCCTCCTGAGGGCTAGGATTATAGATACACACAACTGTATATGTATTAGGCCCGCAGGTTCTTCACCTATGGATCACTATCCCATAGGAGGGCCATATAAACTGGATGTAGGATCATGAAAATTTGACAAAGGAAAGGTTTCCAAATGTAAAATGACCAAAATTTAATACAAAATCAAACATGTGAACTGGTAAGATGGTAAAGGTATTTCTCATGCAAGCCTGAACACTTAGGTTCAAATCTCAGAAACTACATAAAGGTCTGAAAGGAGAACCAACTTCACAAGTTGACCTTTGACTTCTACACATGCAGGGGCACACACAGCCCAACCCCGTCACGCTTACACACTTACACTGAGTCAGTTCTCTCTTTCCCCCATTTAGGTTCAAGGGGTATAGAACTAAGGTTGTTAGGTCTGGTGGCAAGTGCCATTAACCGAAGGGCTACCTCACCAGCCCAGTTTTAAAACAGATTTATTTTATGTTTATGAATGTTTTGCTTACATGTATGTATTTGTACCATGTGTGTGCCTGGTGCCCATAGCAGTCAGATCCTTGGAAATGGAGTTATGGATGGTTATAAACCATCACAAGGGTACTGGGAACAACCCCACTTCTTTAGTCTTTAATGAATGGAAAATTATATATATAAAGAAAAACTTTTTTTTTTTTAATAAGGTGGGGGCACACACCTTTAATCTCAGCACCTGAGAGTCAGAGGCAAGTGAATCTCTGTGGGTTCAAGGCCAGCCTGACCTATAAGAGCTGGTTCTAGGACAGCTGTTCTAGGGCTGTTACACAGAGAAACCTGTCTCAAACCTCCCCCACAACACACACACACACACACACACACACACACACAAATTTTTAAAAGATGATTTACTTTTGGTAATAGTTCTTCAATATACTTAAGGTCATGTAAAAATGTCTCAGGCAAAAGGGGTCATGAGCAGAATGAGCAAGAACGGGCTTCATACTACATGGCAAAATTAAAGACACACAAGCTTTGGGCCAGTTTTGTCAGTAGCCCTTTGTAAGACAAGAACACATGGACGTGTGCAGGATCTTAGCCCACAGATACTGCACTCTCTACTCCTCCCCTCCACAGCCATATCCAGTTCTCCCCCAGGGAAAATACCACAAACCACCCCCACTGATGTCACCGACACCTCAAGAGATGGCCAAATAAATGATGCACTTCATCTCTCACTTCCTTGGGAACCAGCTCTGCTTACACAAGGGCATGAGGGACTCATCAGCAGCACTTGGGAGAAAGCCTCTGGGCTGAGTTAGAGACAAGTGAGGGAGTGGGAGGCTCTTCCTGGGCCACTCACTCACAGCAGTGACTTGTCACCAGCTCTGCTTCCCACATCCCAGGACACAGGGCCCATGAGATGAGCTGCAGTGACACATCCCTGTGCACACCTCCTTTCGAGCCATCTGCTGCGGTACCACGCACGTTCCACCCACACCTTCACAGATCCACACAACAGCTGCTGTTGGGTATAACTGAAACCCATAGTGCAGTACAGCCATGGCTGTGATCCACAGGCCTCCTAGGAAAGAAAGGCCCTACCCAGAAAAGACAAGTATATTTGGGAAGAATCAAAACAGCAGCCAGCATTTTAAACTAAAGGAAACACTTGTGTCCCTACCTAAATAACAGTCATTGATGCTAGTTTTCCCGACTAGACTTTTCTCAAAACACAAAGACCAACTTTTTGAAGTGTCTTCAGCTAAGGGGTAGGGTGGACAAAACATCCATGTGTGTCTCCTTTAATGAAACTACTTTACTCAGTAACGTGACAATGGAAGTTAAAAGTGAGTCAGTCAGCTCAAAGGTATTCCCTGACAAGGGTCATCTTCTGAATACCAACTTAATCACTTTTCTACTTAGGTTTCTATGTTGAATAGCCAGAGAGAAATAACTACAGCAGCAAAATCTAGTCCATAAAGGCTAGCCCCTTACCCAGGAGCGCGCCAAACAAAAGTGCCTATCCTATCCTCTGAAGACCACACTAGCAGTTCTCATTCGGAGGCTCCTTCCTCTATCTAATCAGTCATTATTTAAACTTAAAAACTTCTAAGTAAAGGTAGGGTGTGCTACTAACTCCAGTAGCACTCAGGAAGCAGAGGCGGGAGGACTGCTGTAAACTTAATGTCAGGCTGGCCAGGCTATAACATCCTGTCACAAAAAAACCCAAAACAAAATGGGGCTGGAAAAGACAGTCTAACAGTTAAGAGCATTTGCTATTCTTGCAGAGGGTCTGGGTTCTGCTCCTAATAGCCATGTCAGGATGCTCACAGCCATCTGTTAACTCCAACTCCAAGGGATCTGAAACACTCTTCTGGCCTCTGTGGGCAACGCGCGCACGAACACACACACACACACACACACACACACACACACACACATTCCTAAATAAAGAAGTCTCAGAACTCACCAAGGACTTGTCAATGATGCAGAACATGTAGGTATCATGAAGGAGGATGTGCATCGGTCTCTTGGGATGGAAGCTGATGTGTGTGATGGGAGTATCCCTCTGGAGCCATAGCTGGTGAAATCCCTGCTTCTGGACAGCTCGGCTCCACTCTGTATACTGCTTGTCTGGGATACTGAACTCAAATACCTGAAGAACATAACACCAAGCAAGTGCACATGTGTACCCACAGAGTTCAGAGGCTCCTGCTCCTTCTGGGTTTTCCTATCCACAAATATTAGCAAACCTCAGGCGCCATATTTTAACATTACATTTTGTTGTTGTTGTTCTTTTTTTTTTCGAGACAGGGATTCTCTGTGGCTTTGGAGTCTGTCCTGGAACTACCTCTTGTAGACCAGGCTGGCCTTGAACTCACAGAGATCCTTCTGCCTCTACCTCCCAAATGCTGGGATTAAAGGTACACGCCACCACCGCCCAGCTTATTTTTGTTTTTTTAAGACAGGGTTTCTCTGTGTAGCCTTGGCTGCTGTAGACCAGGCTGGCCTCAAACTCACAGAGATCTACGTGCCCCCATGTAGCGAGCTACGTGAAGCCACATCTGATAATCAGCTCCTAATTATGCCTAAGACCTGACTTATGCTATTATCACACAATGATTATCAGCTGCTTGCATATGCGTGAATCTATAGGCAGTGCCCACCTGGCAATCCGGGATTGGCAGCCCATGCCTACTTAAGAGCTGGGAGAGGAGAGATTTGCCCGAGGAGAGAGAGGAGAGAGAGAGAGAGAGAAAGTGAATAAAGTCCTGGAAAAACTGCAGTGAGAAGAGCTCCGGTGTGTCGTGCGTCATCCTTGCGGGTCAAGGGTGTACGTGACACCCCCCACCCCAGTGCTGGGATTAAAGGCGTGCCCCACAGCCTGCCTTAGCATTACATTTTACCGTCACTTAAAAAAACTCTTTTAAAGGTAAGTTATAGACAACAACTTACCTGAAATTTTTGTTTGAGACACAGCTTTACAGTTTAGCTCTGGCTGGCCTGAAACTTGTGATCCTCCTGCCTCAACATGCCACATGATAGGATTATAGGTCACTGTCACTAACCTCAGAGGGCATCAGTTTCAATGACAAAGACACTTAAGGTGCCGCCTTTCAATAGTCTTGGTCAAGAATGAAAACCCATGCCCTTTCCCCTGGCTAGCAGCGTGGAGGCCGCACGATGCCTGGAGTTACTGTAAAAGACGTTAACCAGCAGGAGTTCGTCAGAGCTCTGGCAGCCTTCCTCAAAAAGTCCGGGAAGCTGAAAGTCCCCGAATGGGTGGACACAGTCAAGCTGGCCAAACATAAAGAGCTTGCCCCCTATGATGAGAACTGGTTCCACACGCGAGCTGCCTCTACAGCACAGCACCTGTACCTGCGTGGTGGTGCAGGGGTTGGCTCCATGACCAAGATCTATGGAGGACGGCAGAGAAACGGTGTCAGGCCCAGCCACTTCAGCAGAGGCTCCAAGAGTGTGGCCCGCCGCGTTCTCCAAGCCCTGGAGGGACTGAAAATGGTGGAAAAGGACCAGGACAGGGGCCGCAAGCTAACAACTCAGGGACAGAGAGATCTGGACAGGATTGCCAGACAGGTGGCAGCTGCCAACAAGAAGCATTAGGACAAAGGATGCTGGGTTAATAAATTGCCTCATTTATAAAAAAAAAAAAGAATGAAAACCCATGAAAGTGAGAGAGCACTTTTTGGATATCGTGTGCATGCATGAAAAGTAAAAACTGTTTCAAAACAGTAAGCCTCATCTGTTTAGCAATTTAATCAAATATGCTTCCCAGATACACTGTTTCTTTCCAACAGTCCGGTGCAGTGTAGTTGACAGACGAGGATACACAAGCACTGATGAGTTAGTTCATAATGTGCTCATCATTGGGCTGATGAGTTAGCCCAAGTATCTGCAGATTACCTCGTCCCAACTTGACATAAAAAGTGCTGTGAAGGAAGCTCTCACTTCGGCTGAGATCAGATACCTGAATTTTAGTAAGATCTGATTTTCTCATGAAGGCAAACCAAACATTTTTAGGTCACTTCCAAAATTTTATTACATCTCATATCTAGTTTAATACCTGGGCCCATGTTATCTCTAGTTTAAATTAGTAGAGTGTAGTCGGATAGTGGTGGCACACGTCTTTAATCCCAGCACCCAGGAGGCAGAGGTAGTGGATCTCTTTGTTCAAGGCCAACCTGGTCTTAGTTCCAGGACAGCCAAGGCTACACAGAGAAATCTTGTGTGTGGGTAGTAGCGGTGGTGGCAGGGATTAGCAGAATGCATCAAAATTCTCCCATCACTTTGTGCTTCCTAGCTCTAGAACGGCAATGCAAGCTGTGCCCATCACACCAGTGGGTACTGCTGGCCTATGATGGGCTCAAGCCACACATGGAAGCCTCACTCACATGAACTATCTAGCAGAAGGGAACTGGAAGAATGCACTAGAATCTCTTACCTGTTGGTCAGAATGAGCAATGACAAGGTTGTTGGTGTTGGGGGCGATGGCCAGAGCAGTCACTGGAAAGTTGTAAGCAGGGACTGTGCAGTGGAGCTGGGGAGAAAGACAAGGGACAAGGCTATAGGACATCTCATCTTCCTTCAGGAAAGGTTAGATGAGCGGGACATGGTGATGACAACTTTAATGGCAGCACTCCAGGGACAGAGGCAGGCGGTGTCAGTTCCAGCTCTATATGGTGAGAGCCTATCCCCAAAACAACCACCACACACACACAAATGCACAGACACACAGACAAAGCAGAACAAAAGGAAGCTAGATGTCAGCAACTTTTGTAGTTTATTATTGCACTTTCGTTGTTTTCTGGACCAGGCTTTGAGTCCTAAACTCCTCTACCACACAAAACCCTAAGCCCAAGTCAGGTGCTTGAAATAAGGTTCTTTGGAACTCAAAAGCATCCTATGGAAGTTCAGGCATTTCAACAACAAAGAACTTTAATTTCATTAAAAAGAAAATTTTGGCTGGGTATGGTGGCGAAGGCCTTCAATCCTCCTTTGGAAGGCAGAGGCAGGTGGATCTGAGTTGAGGTCAGTATGGCTTACATAGTGAGTTCTAGGCCAGTGAAGACCCTTTCTCAAAGAAACAAACAGATTATGCTCAACTGCTTACAAAATAGAGCATTTCCAGAAAACTCAAGAGCAGTTTTCTCTGAGTCAATGTGTCAATATGAATCACTCAAATATACCACTGTACTGAAAACATACAGCTCTACACTGGTTGGCTTAACAAAAAAAAAGCATTGCCAAAGAATGGACATTTGGGTTCAACTATAAAGCATGTTTGTGGGCATTAGAAAGAAACATGGTTTTTGTCAATGCTAGGGACAGAACTGTGATATACAACTCAATGTATTATTACCTATCTGTCAGAAGGATTCCCCAACTGTGATATCCGCCTTAAATTTCTGGTTCTATCTGATCTAAAATCACACCAAATTCACAAGACCTGTTATGGCCTCCAGCGCTGTATCTATGTATCAAAACTCCCTCCCCAGAGCAGAAACACCTGAGTCCCTTTTGTTGTTGTTATTTGTCTGCTGTATGGTACTGGGGACTGACCTTAGGGTACCATGAATGCTAGGTAAGTACTCTGCTATTGAGCTATATCTCCCTAGCCAGGAAATGGAGTCATCACTCCTAAATCCCTAAATGTAAGTTTGAGTATAGCTTACACCATTCTTTCAATTTTAATATTTTGTGATTTTAATATTATGTTAGTAGTGTTGCGGTTCTAAAGAATCCTCCTCCCCTCCGCCCCAGTTTTTCTTTCTTTCTTTTTTTTTTTTTTTTTTGATTTTTTCGAGACAGGGTTTCTCCGTAGCTTTTGGTTCCTGTCCTGGAACTAGCTCTGTAGACCAGGCTGGTCTCGAACTCACAGAGATCCGCCTGCCTCTGCCTCCCGAGTGCTGGGATTAAAGGCGTGCGCCACCACCGCCCGGCCCGCCCCAGTTTTTCGAGACAGGGTTTCTCTGTAGCTTTGGAGCCTGTTCTGGAACTAGCTCTTGTAGATCAGGCTGGCCTTGAACTCACTGAGATCCACCTGCCTCTGCCTCCCGAGTGCTAGGATTAAAGGCATGCGCCACCACCACCTGGCGGTTCTAAAGAATTCTAAAACAGAAATCTAAAGAAATCTAAAGCAGGAAAAATTCTTCCTTAAAAAAAAGCCTAGGGGGCTGGATAGATGGCTCAGAGGTTAAGAGCATTGCCTGCTCTTCCAAGGGTCCTGAGTTCAATTCCCAGCAACCACATGGTGGCTCACAACCATCTGTAATGGGGTCTGGTGCCCTCTTCTGGCCTGCAGGCATACAGACAGACTATTGTATACATAATAAATAAACATTAAAAAAAAAAAAGCCTAGTAAATTTCCAGGTCATTCTGCTCTGCCTTGAATCTTAACACGACTAGCAGCAGCTTCCCGTATGGCTATGAACTCTGATGCTCACCTTTAGATGATTCAGATCGTATATGTGGACTCCAGCACTGGTACCTGATGCAGCTAGCCAATTCCCATCTGAACTGACTGCCAAAAGACACATGGCCTCCACTATCCCTGAGGACAGAAGAAACAAGTTCTTGAATTAGGCACCCACAGCCTGCCCCGCCCTGGAGAAACCAATGAGAAACCCACATGGCTATAAATCATTTATAGAAGACTTTACTAGAGTTTTGCAAATTAGTTCTAAACATTAACCAATTTTTAATATATATTGAGACAGGAAATTACTTTTGTAGCCCAAGACAGCCCTAAATTTAGGATCCATGTGCCTCAGCCTCCAAAGGTTAGATAACTATGCTTTCCCTACTTTTTAAACTTAATTAGTGATTGTTGGGCATGGTGGCACAAGTTTTTAATCCTAGGACCCAGGAGGCAAAGAATATGAGTTCGAGGCTAGCATGGTCTATACAGCAACTTTAAGGCTAGTTAGGTCTACATCATGAGATGTGGTCTGAGAAAATATAAATATATATATTATAAATATAAATACTATTGTCTCTCGTGTGAAGAAAGTCCAGAAAGATAAAACTAGAGGCATCACTGGTTCAGACCCGAGTAAAGCACTAAAATCACACCCTAAGTTAACTATTTCAGACTACTTTTTCCTTCTTAATGTTTTAAAATTACAGTTAGGGATACATATTTAACAGACTTGAAGCACATATTTAATTTATTAAGTGCCTGCTGTCTGCTTAACACTATGGGGCATGGATGAGACACCTCTGTCAAAAAGGTTTTGAATCAATCTGTAACATTAAGACAAAATGAAAATCAGACACTGACATTATATGCTAAAATATGTGCTGCAAATAACAATCCCAAATAATGAAAAAAGCCTTATAACAGGTCATAAACCATCTCTTGAAAGAGGGAAAAGAAAAGGTAAGGGCAAGATAGTCTAAGATTTATAATAAAAATACTGTTGTTTAACTCATCTGACTCCTGAATGGTCAGCTTCTTCTGATGTAGCTATTTTTTTTTTCACCTTTTCTGTCTTTTTTTTTGGCGGGGGGCGGGGGGGAATATGAGACAAGGTCTTTTTATGTAGCCCTGGCTATCATGAAACTTACTCTGTAGACCAGGCTGGCCTCAAACTGCCTTCCAAGGGCTGGGACTAGAGTTGTGCACCACCAGGCCTGGCATTAAGCAGCTTTTCAATGAATTAATGTTAAGTACTTACAGTCCAGGCTGATGGGAACCTAAAACAGTAATGAAGTAGCTATATGCCAGGGCAAGAACAAGGGACAGGACCGTGGAATGTATTCAACTACCAACGTAAACTAGATACGAAGTTGAAGCCAACAGTTAACTCAGCATTGGCTAGTATATATAGTCACCTACTGACGCAATCTTATGTTCTTAGGGAACATGAAAAAGTCACAAGCACAAAAGACCCCAAATAAAGCTATATGCCTAACAATATTTTCATCTTAAATAAACATCTCATAAAAACAAATCTCTACACAGTAGCACCAGAAAACACCAAACAGTAAGGGGAGCCATTTGGTGTCAGGATTGCAGACGACTTTTACTTTCTTCCTAACTCTGCCAACAAACCTAAGGATGATGAAACTCCTCTGGTCCAAATAAGGAATCAAAAGCCCAGTGAGAAAGAAGTAGGTGTGAGGAACATTTCAGAGCTCATCGAGAGAATCTTCATCTGCCAGAGATCTCCTCCTACTTCAAATGGCAAACATGTGAGCAAGTGTATCTGCAAGGTAAGAAAGAGTAGCAGGCACCCTGGCACTGAGGTCTAAAGAGAAAAAGTCACCAGAGACAGAGAATCCCCTGCTCAGTTAGAAATCCCACCTGATTGAGGCTGGAAAGTATGCAAATGCTTGAAGTTTCCTTCCAGCAGATGAATGATATGCAGAGACCCTTGATTTGATGCCACAAAGAGCTTTGTCGAATCTTCAGAAAACAAAATATGGAGGGCAGAGCGAAGGAACGCTGGCATTTTGGAAACCTTTGGGTAAATCAACAGTAAAAACGAGTGAGAGAAAGCAGCATGCCACAACCTGACAGCCAGGTTACCTTACATTAACTCTCGGGATTGCCAAGAAAGGACCCACAAAAGGCCTAGAATACTGCCATGCTTCCTATAACCTATCTAGCTTTCTCTTCATCCAGATTGCAATGCTCAATTCTCCACCTTGGAAATAACTTAAAATGGGAATAAATACCATTTTTTGTTAGGATTATTTCCCTACTTCTTTTCATTTTATGTATTTAATAACTAAATGAGCCCTAAAACCATACACACACTAACAACAAAAACAGACTCAGCAGGTTGTATTCATATATTTGTGCAAACACACACTCTATTGAAAGTGGAGGGGCTATGAGAAGGGTTAGGGGAGGAGACCTGAGGGAATGGAAGGAGGAAACGAATGTAATTCTATTTTAATTAAAAAATGTATAAAAAGTAAACAAAATAGCAAAAACAAGTACTTAGCATTGCAGTGGTAGTGCTGAAGATTGAATCTAGAACCTTCTCTAAGATTTAAAAACAAAACTAGGGGCTGGAGAGATGGCTCAGTGGTTAAAAGCACCGGCTGCTCTTCCAGAGGTCCTGAGTTCAATTCCCAGGAACCCCATGGAGGTCCACAATAATCTATAATAAGACCTGATGCCCTCCTCTGGTGTGCAGACATATAGAACACTGCATACACAATAAATAAATCTTAAAAAAAAAAACAAAAAAAACAAAAACAAAACAAAAACCAATGATAGAAATCAATCCAACACTTGGGAGGCAGAGACAGGCACATCTTTGTGAGTTCAATGAAAGTCTGGTCTACAGAGTGAGTTTAAGAATAGCTAGGATTGGGCTGGAGAGATGGCTCAGCGGTTAAGAGCATTGCCTGCTCTTCCAAAGGTCCTGAGTTCAATTCCCAGCAATCACATGGTGGCTCACAACCATCCGTAATGAGGCCGGCAGGAAGAATACTGTATACATAATAAACAAATAAATATAAATATTAAAAAAAAAGAATAGCTAGGATTAGCAGCTGCACAGGTGGCTCAGAAGCTAAGAGCGCCGACTGCCGTTCCTGAGGTCCCGGGTTCGAGAACAGCTCGAGCGCTCTATGTAAATAGTCGGGGAAAAAAAAAAAAAGAATAGCTAGGATTATGCAGAGGAACCCTATCTCAAAAATAACAAAAAACAAAAAAGATTTAAAAACAAAGCAAAAACTAAACAAACAAATAAAAACCGTGTGTAGGGGCTTGAGAGATGGCTCAGTGGTTAAGAGCACTGGCTGCTCTGCAGAGGACAGCGATTTGGTTCCCAGTACCTATATGGCAGCTCACAACCTCCTGTAACTCTAGTCCTAGGGACCTATCCCCTCTGGACTCTGGAAGCACCACACACACACGGTAAAAGATATATAAATATGCAAAACATTAATACACACGTGTAAATAAAACATTTTGTAAAATGTGTGTATGTGTAGAGGTCAGAGGTTAACCTGTGGGAGTCTCTCCTTCCACCATGTAGGTCCTGGAGATGGAACTCAGGTTGTTAAACATAGCGGTCCCTGAAAGACTGCTCTGTAACAGCTAAAGAAAAATCCTTTTCACTAAGGATTATTTTTTAAATGATTTTAAATGATTCATTTATTTTTACTTTATGTGCATTGGTGCTTTCCCTGCATTTGTCTGTATAAGGGTGACAAATCACTTTGAGCTAGATTACAGACGGTTTGTGAGCTGCCATGTGGGTGCTGGGAACCGAACCCAGGTCTTCTGGAAGAGCAGCCATCTGTGCAGCCCCAAGGATTCTTATCTAATTCATTTCCACTTCAAACAAAAGTACACATTTAGCAAGTTTACTCTTTTACAGGAATCCACTTTGTCCTCACTTACTCTTTGGAGGCTTATGTTGTCACGTTCATATTTCACTCGATAGAGAAAAAACCGAGAGGCTGTAGAATAGGCTATCCAGCTTCCACACGGGGAAACACAACTGCAGCCAACGTTCTCAGGGCCCTGGCAATTGGAGGAAGCAACATGAGTGGAAAAAAAACACCAACTGTTTTTTAGGCAAAGTCTCACTCTGTCTCACTCCAGTCTCCCTACAGTAGACGGCAAACGGGGCTCACAGGAGTGAGCCATCAGGCCTGGGAAAGCTTCTTGTGACCAGGTTCCCACGACAGGACTCTACGCTCACGGTGCTCTCACATCCTCACAAATGCATCTTTGAGACAGGATTTAACTCAGCCCAAGGTGTGTTAATTCTAAGGCTAGTCAAATTCCCTACTAATCAAAACAGCCCTGAACTCCTAAACTTTTTTTTGCCTCTGCATCCCAAGTACTGGGATTACCGGTAGGATTACCATAAGGACCTAAAAGACATGTTTATAAAAGATAATATGATTAAAGCAATTTACATGGTATGTTGCTAACATAAAAAGGAAACATACATACAAATGAGCACAAGTTCTTTGTCTTTCTGAGGGAGAATATACAAGAAACTGTGGAACTGCTTATCTGTGAACAGCGAAACAGTAAAATGTGGGGTGAGCTTGAAGCTCCACTTGATCACACAACCTTTCACTGCCTTAATTATTAGAAACACACATGCTATTTCTATAATATAAAAAGGAAAACCCAATTTCCTGTACTCACTTATCAAATTCTCAGTATCTAACTTATAAACACCAGTGACACAATCCTTCAGATAAAATGACAAAGTCTGGGCTTCAGACTGAGTGCTGCTCAGATTCAGAATGGAGAAGGGCTCTGGGCCTGGGCGGAGCATGGACCTTCCTCACCTTTGTCTTGAGGTGCAGCAGATGGTCTGCGTTTTTAGAGAGTGGAAGAGTATCTCCGTTCTTGCCTAAAAACAGAAACTTTGAGCTTTCTCTCACCAAAGAAAATTTGTACTTTTTTCATTTTAAAGCCAAGCCTGAGTAACAGAATTTGCCACCAGGAGGTCAGGTTTACCCACATTACCACGCGTGCCATCACAATCTGGAGAGCCATGTGAGGAGCAGCAAAGAGACTTTGACTCTAAGGCAGTCTGCCATAGCTTCTCCCAGACTCACAGTGGGCAGAGGCAGGTTTTAGTACACTCTAAACCCTTCCTAAACTCGCTACTCTTCCCCAAGTCGTGGGACCTTTGTTTCCATACTGCACATCACTCCACCTTCTCAGCTTTCAACAGAAGTCAGGCCAGGGCAAAGTATGACTCCACAACCGTCATTCCAACTAACTCTTACATGCGTCTAATAGAAGCTTAAACTCTGTTTGGGGGGATGGGGGTTGAGACAGGGTTCTCTGTGTAGTCCTGGCTGTCCTGGAACTCACTCTGTTGACCAGGCTGGCCTCAAATCCGGTGTGGCTGTTGTCTCTTAAGAGTTTAGCCAGGCTGTGGCAGAGGCAGGCAGATCTCTGTGAGTTTGAGGCCAGCCTGGTCTACAGAGTGAGTTCCAGGGACAGGCTCCAAAGCCACAGAGAAACCCTGTCTCAAAAAAAAAGGAAAAACAACAAAAGGCCAGGTGTGCATGAAGATAGAGCTCTGTGAGCTCAAGGCCTAGTTGAACTCAACCTGGTCTATAGACTGAGTTCTAGGACAGAAAGAAAAAAAAATTGATATCTATCTTAAGATTTTAGATAGTCACAATGGTTCATGGTTATCTCATCATTTAGGATTGCTGAGTTCAAGGCCAATCTCAACTGCAGAATGAGATTCTATTTCAGAAAACCAAAACAAAGTTTTAACATTCAATAATTTTTTTCTTGTATATGGAAAAAATCGTAATTTCCCAGACACAGTAAAAAAAAGTCCACCCTTCTAAATGTATGCACGTGTGTGCAGGTCAGGCTGGCATTAGGCATTTCCTCAATTGCTCTCCACTTTGTTTTTTCACAGTTCAAGTCTGACTATGTAGCCCTGGATGGCCTGGAATTCCTTAGGGACCAGGCTGGCCCTGAAACTCCAGCTGAGTGCTCGCACAAAGGCAGAGTGTTGAGACTGGGACTAAAGGCGCACACACCATGGCCAGCTCCACTTTACTTTGTGACACAGGGTCTCCCTGCTTCCCTGGTCCTGAACTTCTGATTCTCTTGTTTCACTCTCTTCCCAGTTTCCTTCTGTGCAGGCGCTGGATGATGCTGCAGCTCAGACCTGGAGACCTGTGCTTCCCAGGCAGGCACTTTACTTCTGAGGTAGGCACCAGCCCATCTTGATATCCCCCCCCCCCTTTTACTGTTTTTAAAAATTTGCCAGTTTTTAAAACTAAGTCAAAAACAAAAAGAAACATCAAAAAACTCCCACAAACCTTTCCGCCAATTTACCTGTTGCCACTGTAGATCCTAGTCTCCAAAGCTCCAAGTGATGAGCAAACTGGAAGAGGAGAAGCTGCCTTCTTTTTGAACAGGAAATGAGACGACGCTGCATTCAAGAATTGAAATCTCATAAATGGGCCAATGTGGTCACCTGCTGCTTCAGTTCCAGAGGCAAGAGCAGCATCCTAACAGCCTCTTCCCTATTGCTGAAATCCATTGTGGCCAGCGCCCCCACCACCCCCCAGGCAAAGGCAGGTACATCTCTGTGAGTTCAAGGCCAGTCTACAAAGTGAGTTCCAAGGTAGACTGGGCTACAATAGTGAGACCCAGGCCTACCCCCCCACCCCCCGCAAAACAAAAACAAACAACCCCCCAAACCCATTTTGGTAGATATATCACAGTCTAGCCGCTGTGCTAGGATTTGAGAACACAATGGAGACTGAAATAGCCACTCATCTCAAGATGGTTCTAAAAAACTGACAAGTATGCCACAAGATTTAACACGGATAAACACAGGACGAGCAGAAAAGACGCCTACCCTAGCCTTGTGGAACCAACACAGATGAGGCTCACTGGCAAAGATTAGTCAAGCAGAGAAGGCAGGGTAAGAAGTTCCAGGGAGGAAAGAACACGCAAAAACACTGAGGAGAGCAACTTAGAATTGACAGGCTGGGGGAATGGGCCAGTGCAAGATCAACACAGGATCTAGAGACACATTAAGAATTTAGGGCTCCCAGCACTCAGGAAGCAGAGGCAGGACAGGCTCCAAAGCTACATAGAAACCCTGTCTCAAAAAAAAATAAAAAAATAAAAAATTAAAAAAAAAGGGGGGGCTTTAAGTTGAAGACAATAACCAAAGGCTTTTTAAATAAGAGGAATAATCAAAGTTCTTTTTCTTTTCTTTTTAAAGAGACATCTTGATTAAGGGAGCCATTAGGGAGCTAGTGTTAAACCTGGCACTAGAGAAATTCCCCGGAATCCACAAGACCCTAAGCAACAGTGGAGAAGGTGTCTAAATTGGCCTTCCTCTGCAATCAGATTGATGACTATCTTAAATGTCATCATAGAACCTTCATCCAGCAACTGATGGAAGCAATCAATCCACAGCTAAGCACTGGGCTGAGCTACTGGAGACCAGTCCAAGAGAGGAAGGAGCAATAATATGAACAAAGGGGTCAAGACCCCGATGGGGATACGCACAGAAACAGCTGACCCGAGCTAGTGGGAGCTGACTCTGGATTAATAGCGGGAAACCTGCGTAGGATGAAACTAGGCCCTCTGAACGTAGGTGGCAGTTGTGTGGCTTGGGCAGTCTAGGGGCCCCCACTTCAGTGGGACCAGGATTGTTCCCTAGTGCTTGAACTGGCTTTTTTGATCCCATTCTTTTTGGAGGGATACCTTGCTCAGCCTAGATATGGGTGGAGGGCTTCAGTACTGCCTCAAAATGACATGTCAGACTTTGTAGACTCCCCATGGGAAGTCTTACCCTTTCTGAGGAGTGGATGGGGGGGAGGGTAGGATAGAGAGAAGGTGGGGAGAATGGGAAGGAGTAGGAACTGGGATAGGTATGTAAAATGAGAAAAGATCACTAAAAATAAATAAATATTTATTTATTATGTATAGTGTTCTGTATGCATGTATGGCTGCAGGCCAGAAGAGGGCGCCAGATCTCATTACAGATTGTGAACTACCATGTGGGTGCTGGGAATTGAGCTCAGGACCTCTGGAAGAGCTGTCAGTGTTTTTAACCACTGAGCAATCTCTCCAGCCCTAACAAAGAGCTCCAATGGAGAACACATTGCAATGACACAGATGTTAGCATAAGGAGACAATGAACCTAGTCAGAGTGGTGCACAACTTCAACCCCAGCACTCAGGAGGCAGAGGCAGGCGAGTTCTGGGCCAGTGTGGTCTACTCTACATAGTGAGTTCCAGGACAGCTAGAGCTACACAGAAAAACCCTGTCTCACAAACGAAAAAAAAAAGAGGAAATCGCTGAAAAGGAATTCAGGAGAAAAGACACTGATCCAAAGTAGGATAATGGCGGCACAGAAGTGACTCAATTAAAGAGATAATCAGGAAATAATAAGGCTCTTGAGGGCTGGTGAGCTCAAGAATAGTCTGGCCTCACAGGGAGTTCAAAGTCAGTCAGTGCTACAAAGTGAAATCCTATCTTAAACAGAGGTGGGGGAGGAATGAGGACTATGTCTCTGACGTCGTTAAACCACATGCATGAAATATGAGGGTAATTCATAAAAACATTTTTAAATGTATGTATATAGATGTTGTGCCTGCATGAACTTCTGTGCATCACATTCACGCAGTCCTGAGGAGGCCAGAACAGAGTGTCGGCTCTTCTTGAACTGGTGGTACTAGCTGCCAGATGAGCCTAGGTCATATGAAGGAATCTCTGACCCCTCTCCTATTAACTGTACTTTATAGAAATGTCATGAACTTGTTTTTAAGGGTGGGCTCTATTATTCAGGTGGAGAAGCTAGGCTTGTAGCGTTCCTTTCAAGGTAAATGGTATCATTCCCCACAGTTGAGCAGACCTCCCCTAACACCTAAACTGGGTCTACCTCATTGCCACAATATGCATGTACATATATACATAGCAAGTTGTTGTTGTTGTTTTTAAGGAAGCTTGCCTCAGAAAAGAATGAAGACAGCTTTAGGAAGTATGAGCCTGTTCAATCTGACTGGACAGAGGGATGGGGAGATACTAAAGGCGAGAGGGGATACTCACATGGGGAAAAGTGATCTTCCGGAGGGCAGCATCATAATTCTTTACCTCCACTTTCTCCATGAGAGGACGAATAACTAGGTGGGTGTCTGTGCCTGAAACAAAGGCACACAATGAGAGAAATGCTACCCGAAGAGAAACAGCCAGAGCTGGGGGAGGACCTACCTCCTGATATCAGAGCTGTCGGGCTGTGGGCCACAGTGCGCACATCATGAGTGTGATGCTGGAATGGCTTTGTCCGCACCCACTGCTTCTCACTGCTGCTGGAAGTCACGGGGACCAGCTGAAAATGGAATACTGTGCCCTCGGCTGTGCCCACCACAAAACTGTCTTCTTGCTGAGAAATTAAATCAGGAGGGGGTAGATGTCAACATAACAGGTACAGATGGAAAAAATATTCTTTCCGGTTTTCTATCTGGGCAGCTCAGGGGAAAAGAAAACTCATGCCCTGAATTAGAAAGGAGGTTCCTGCCTGGCAAGGTGGTGCATGCCTTTAATCCCAGATCTCTGTGAGACTGAGATCACCCTGATCTACAGAGTGAGTTCCAGGGCAGTCAAGGCTACAAAGAGAAACCATATCTGGTGAAAGGGAAGAAAGAAGGAAGTTTCCAGGGAAGGCAGTTCCATCAGAGGACCAAGCTCAGACATAAGCAGCAATTGCCCCCTGCTGATAAAGTTAACACTTAGAATTGCCAATGTGTTATGCAGTCACATGCTATACATTCAATGACAAACCAAATACATGATCCATAAAAGTCTAATGAACCAAAAGTTCCTATTACCCAGTGATACAATAGCTGCCAAAATGTAGTACAAAACATTATTCACAATGCTGCTGCTGTAGAACACACGATCACACACCCTTTAATTGTACGCTAAGTTTGGTTTGGTTGGAAATTTTTATTTTGCTGTAAGATCTTAAGAATTACAGGACTGGAGGGATGGCTAAGCAGTTAGGCACTATTGTTCGTTCAGAGGGCCTGAGCTCGGTTTCTAGTGCACAGAGAATGCAGTTTACAACCTCCCATAACTTCCGTTCCAAAGGGATCTGAAGCCTCTGACGTTTACACTCCAGTGCACATATCCATACTCACACCCAACTTAAAAAAAAAAAAAAAGGCTAGAGAGATGACTCAGCAGTTAAAAGGGTATTGGCTGCTCTTCCAGAGGACCCAGGTTCAACCAACACCCACATGGCAGCTTACAACTGTAGCCCTAGTTCCAGGGGATCCAACAGACACACATGCAGGTAAAATACCAATATACATTTTTTAAAAAAGCTGGGCAGTGGTGCCTAACGCCTTTAATCCCAGCATTCAGGAGGCAGAGATAGGCAGATCTCTCTGAGTTTGAGGCCAGCCTGGTTTACAAAATGAGTTCCAGGATAGATAGGACTACACAAAGAAACTGTCTAAAAAAAAACCCTCACAAACAAACATTATATTTATACTTTTTTCTTTTTGTGTCAGGGTTTCTCTTTGCCTGATTCTAATTAATAAAAAAAAACAAAAAAAAAAACTTCTTATAGTTTCAAGTAAGGCACTTAGTATTTTTATTTGATTGTATAAAACATAAATTTCCTTAGTATTATTGGGTTTTTTTGTTTGTTTGTTTTTGTGGTCCTGGCTGTTCTAATCTCCTTCCTTGGTGACAAATGTCATCATCTGCTGAGCTATACCCTAGTAATAACATCTTTATGAAGTTAAATTTTTGTTTTTTATTTTTTTGAGACACAGTTTCTCTGTATAGCTTTGGAGCCTGTCCTAGAACTCACTCTGTAGACCAGGCTGGCCTTGAACTCACAGAGATCCACTTGCCTCTGCTTCCCAGGAGCTGGGATTAAAGGCGTGCACTACCACCACCCAGCTTAAACATTTATTAAAGTTAAACATTTCTACTAAAGAACATGGTAGGTGCTAGGTCATTGTTTATGTGGTTTAGAAGGAATTAGATTTCTCTGCTGCTTGTTGTGTAAAAGAACAGCACATACAATTGGTACATTAGTTGTGCAACGTAGTAGCTTTCCTACTACCTGTTTGCCTAAGTATATGCTGATGCTCACAGTGTTCAAATCACCTACTGATATATTTCTCAGGATGTGCTCCTGCCATTAGGTGACATAACTATATACAAACTATGCGCAGTACAAGGAATAAAATACCTAAAATAGATTTAAATAAGGAACATGTTAGTTGTGAGAAAAAACTGAATCCTTCTAAACTACATAGGCAATATATGAGAAAAGACAGACCAGACCCTAAGGCTGACTTGAAAGCTGGGCTTGAGGATATAAGGTCATATTCTTGGCTACTCAGGAGGCTCAGCAGGAGGACCGTAAGTCCAAGGACTACTTGGGCTGGGAGCATACTCACATCAGCGACAGCAATAGACTGAACATCCGCATTTGCGATGACGTGGCTCTTAACAAGTGTCCCCGTAGCTGAGTCCCATAACTGCACCTTTCCAACAGAGTCCACACTTATGACAGTTCCGTCAGACAAGAAGGCAACGCCCCACACAATACACCTTGACTTCGTCACTCCCAGGTGCTGCCTATCTAAAACCATCTTACGAGTAATGCTCCCTGAAAAATAAGAAAGGCACACATGGAGATGGTGTTTAGTTCCAGTTTCCCAAAGCTGCCCGGACAAGCTTAAGGTGATGAGTCAGAGGGCCTGGACATCCATTGTCAGTGAATGGCAGCTGAGAGGATGAGGCCCCCAAGGTGGGACAGTTGAAAGTTGCTCTATGAGGCTGCGAACCCTTGAAGTAGCAATCTCCTGAGTAAGCAGCGGATAGTATACAAACACCGTCCCAACAGAAGAACCTTAGGTAAAAGGTATGGAGAACTAAGTATGGGACAGGGTGTCTAGAGGGAAAACAGGGTCAAGTTAAAACTGGTAAGAACACGGAGAACAAAGATTTCTTCTTCTCAGAGCAGGGACAGCGAGGCCTGCACTTAACCAGGTAGGAGACTGAAAAAAGAGTGTCAGAATGCAGCTCAGGGCAGAGATGTGTAATGCCAATGCCAGGGTTGTCTAATTCCCAGCACCAAAAAACCAACTGACTGATTTCTGGAAACCAAGTCACACAAGACAGAAAAAATTATTTCTAAGATTCCCCAAACAGGCAACCCAGTGAAGACCATGCTCAAGAGTCCCACTGATGGAACAAGAACAAACAGTACACACGCGGGCGGAAAAAGCTTCCTCTAACAAGAAAAGCCAAACAGACTAACAGAAACAGCAAACAAATGAACAGTGGGCCAGGAAGGGTGCAGAACAGTTGCAGAATGTTATCACTAAAAGCTTCAGAGTGAGGGGCTGGAGAGATGGACAGCTGTTGAGCACTTTCTGCTCTTGCAGGACTGGAGTTTGGTTCCCAGCACCCACACAGCACTTAACTACAGCTCTAGCAGATTCCTGCACACGCACACAATCAAAAAACAACCCCCCCCACCAGGTGGTGGTGGTGCACACGTTTAATCCAAGCACCCAAGAGGCAGAGGCAGGTGGAGGCAGGTGGATCTGTGAATTCCAGGCCTGCCTGGTCTATAAGAGCTAAGCTAGTTCCAGGACAGCACCAAAGCTACAGAGAAACCCTGCCTTAAAAAACCAAAAAACCAAAACCCCAACTCTTAGAAAGAAATGAACAGCCTCAGAGGCTGCAGGTGTAACCACAGAACACAAACTTAGCACAGGCTCCAGCAGCTAAAAACAGAAAAGACCTTTGGAGGTGGCTAAGTGAAAATTTCACTACAAACATTAAGATATGAAGATGACAAATTTATATTAGCGAACAATAAATAAAATAAATAAAAGTAAAAAAGATGAAAAATAAGAGTGGCTAAGAAAGAAGACCCAACACTGAAGTAGTAAAATTCGAGAAAGAGAAAACAGAAACTGATCTACAAAGTAATTAAAAGAATTTCCCCCAAACAGAGGGTTTGAATTAAAGCAATCTCCTACGTATCTAGCACAACTGATTGACACGAGAAAAAACAAACAAACAAAAAAACAACCACATCTACAACAAACAGACTAATACAACAAGAATAACCAAAATTTTAGCTAATGTCTAACAGGGCTCAGGAGCAGAGGCTCACCTAGTGCCTAAAGGCCTGGGTTAGAGCTCCAGCAGAGAAACAAAGAAAACTCCTACAAAGGAAAAGGAAAGGAAAAAAGGCACATGCTCAAAGGTACTAGAAACCAAATAAAAGATTAACTCTCTGTATGGCCAAAGGGTCAATAATCAGAATGGCACCACACTTCCCAACAGGGAAAGGAAGAATCCTAAATAACACAGCAGCAAAAGGGACCCCAGAAAGACGGAAACACAAGTCTTTCTCACCTTGTACAGCACGACCCAAGTGGCTAAGCCAGACCGGAAGAAGTTAAAACAAAGAGACTCATTTCTAAGGACATAGAAATGGCACGAAAAAACAAATAAAAACACCGAAATACTCAGATGTGTTTGTATCAATTTATACAACTCAAAGACTTTATGGATGAAGTGGCAGAGATGTAGGAGAATGGGAATATTCAACAGGAAGCAGACAGGAAGGAAAGTAACTTCCTCTGAGAGCAGTTCACTTGGCCATGATGATAGGAACCCAGTTACAAATAAGCACAAAGATCAGGAGACAGTGTGATGGACACTACAGCAGAAAGCACACAGGGAAGACTCTGATGTTGAATTCAATAACGTGTATAATTAAAAAAAAATCAAAATGTAGAATTATAAATATGCCGTGTACAGCAGAGATAAATCCCAAAAGAATCAGCTAAGGGTTGAAGTGGTTTATTTTGGGGATCAGGAGAAGGGCATAGGAGATTACTCTTTTGGTAATAAGCCTTAAGGAACTCTGTGGCTATAGGCATGTGTAATTAAAGGCAAACAAAACAAAGAAACGTACAAACCAGGCATTGAGGAAAAAGAAAAACAGAGACATACCAATCCCCACCACACACACACTCTCTTTGCCTTTTTTGGGACAGGGTTTATCTGTGTTATAGTCCTGGAACTCACTTTGTAGACCAGGCTGACCTCAAACTACTACCCAAGTTTTTTTGATTTTGTTTTTTTGAGATAGGGTTTCTGTGTGTAGTTCTGGCTGTCCTGGAACTCACTCTGTAGACCAGGCTGGCCTTACACTTAGAGATCCACCTGCCTCTGGCTCTCAAGTGCTGAGATTAAAGGTGTGCGCCATCACTGGCTTGTCTCTGTACAAAAACATGTACAAATATGAGGTTAAAGGCAACGTCACCACTGAAGGGGTCTAATAGCTAATTTTCTACGTCAAGAACAGAAAAGGAAGTCATGGTTCTCTACCTTATATTCCATTTTTTCCGGACACATAGACATCCTAGTTAACACACACTAAATGCTGTATTACTTGAGAGTAAATGGGACTGTAATATATCCTCTTGGGGGCTGGAGAGATGGCTCAGGGGGCTGGAGAGATGGCTCAGCGGTTAAGAGCATTGCCTGCTCTTCCAAAGGTCCTGAGTTCAATTCCCAGCAACCACATGGTGGCTCACAACCATCTGTAATGAGGTCTGGTGCCCTCTTCTGGCCTTAAGGCATACACGCAGAAAGAATATTGTATACATAATAAATAAATAAATATTAAAAAAAAATATCCTCTTACGAAGAAAGTGCTGTATCCTATGGAAGAATGAAGATCCCCCAAATACAGCAGTGCTAATCAAAAACAGGAATGAGAGGCTAAAGAGATGGCTCAGTGGTTAAGAGTGCTTACTACACAGGTTTTAAAAAAAAAATAAAGAGAGAAGTCTGAATCCCAGGACACGTGTAAAGGTTGGACATGGTCCCTTCAGGCCTATCATCCCAGGCCTGGAGGATCATCGGAACTAGCTTCTTGCTGGCCTATTCTAAAAAACAAAATAAAACAAAACAAAAACCAGACTCACCCCTGCCCTGGGTTCATAAGAGACTGTGCCTCAGAAAGAGCCTGAGTCCTTCTAAAGTTCTTCTCTTGTCACTACCTATGAAGGCATGTATACGTACATATAACACAGAATAGACAGAGACAGACACACTTAGTCATATACAGAATGCACATGGAAAACGGGCAAAATTTGTGGTGGACATGTGGAGAGATTAATGAGAAGTTAGCTCATCACATTCATTGAAAACGTGACAAAGTCGAGCTCTCAGAAACTGAGAAATGTAGATCTGACAACACCCACAACACAAATGTACCAAATAGAAAACAGTCACCTGATTTGACATCAAACACGATAACGTAGTCTATGGAGCCAGCTGCAATGTGGGTACCAGCAGGATGCCAACTGAGACTTAGGATCCGACCTTAGGAGTAATAAAACAAGAAAAAAGGTGACATAAACTGAGCTCTCCTCCCACAGCGACCTACATGGCTTCTGCAATTCAGTGTTAGTTTCTCATTCCCCGCAGCAGATGTACTGTCCTGGGTCCCACAATGGAGTATCTGACAACTTGTTTTACTAATGTATAAATAGTTGAGGAAAATATGTAAAATAAACACATCCTTCTGAGAACGATCTGGTTGTGACCTAACAAAATTTCAATGTGCACAGACACTGACTTCAGATTAAAGAGACATACTTGCACGGATGCGCAAATATATGTATGGTCATGCACAAGTATTAACATTACAAACAAGGATGCACTGACTACAAGATGACGGCCTCATGAGACCTTATCATCCAGTGACATCAGCCATCTGAGTTTGTGTAAGCATACCTGATAATGTTCACACGATGGGATGATTTAACACTGTATTTTCAGAACAGATCCCTTCTGTTAACCAACCATAATTAAGCATATCTGTCGCCAGGCGGTGGTGGCGCACGCCTTTAATCCCAGCACTCGGGAGGCAGAGGCAGGTGGATCTCTGTGAGTTCGAGACCAGCCTGGTCTACAGAGCTAGTTCCAGGACAGGCTCCAAAACCACAGAGAAACCCTGTCTCGAAAAACCAAAAAAAAAAAAAAAAAAAGCATGTCTTTCTTTCTTTGGTGGTTGTGCTGATTAGTTTTTTTGTCAACTTGACTAGACTAATTCTATGACATCTACTGAAAAGTACTGTATCACCTTTCCAATTGAGAAATAACAAAAATCTGGTTCCAGTGGATAGCTATCCCTAAAGGACACAGAACACACAGCATGCTCACTACTCTCCAAAACAGGCACAGGCATTGGCAGTCTACAGTCCGCTTTCAGTTTGTAAATCAAGTTTTACACAATCACAAATCTCTGTTCATGCACTGTGACGGTTTCTGTGCTACAAGTAGAGATAGCAGGGACTATTTTGCCTTCAGAGCCTCAAGTACCATGGTGCTCAGTACTTTACAACCCAGAGCCCAAGCAGCAGCAGTTGCTCATGATACTCACCGAGACATTGAAATTGGCTAGTAGGGTTAAGAACCACAGCTAGCCTTTAATCCCACCACTTGAGAGGCAGAAGTAGATGGATCTCTAAGTATGAGGCCAGCCTGGTCAACAGAGTGAGTTCCAGGACAGCGAGGGCTACACAGAGAAACCTTGTCTTGAAAAACAAGCAAACAATAAAAACAAACAAACCACGGCCAGCAAAGCTTAGAGGTGCATGCCTGTAATCACACTGCTAAGGCAGGACTGCATGAGTTTAAGGGCAGTCAGGGCTACACAGAGTAACAGGTAAGTGGGGGCTACAGTGTGAGAAGCTGTCTCACAAAAACCAGAAGAAAAGGGAAAAAGAAATCACAGCTCTCTTGTTGTGCAGATCTGTAATCTCAGTACTCAGGAAGTAGAGGCAGGCCTACACAGAAGAACCAGCCTCAGGACATCATTTAATGATAAAAAACAAACATACAAATATTTAAATTTCACAAAACAGGAGTTTTTGTAGCGGTGCACTGCCTAATTTTATGTCAACTTGACAAAGCTAGTCATTTTGGAAGAGAAACTCTCAACTGAAAAAAAAAAAGCCCCAACCAGGCTGGCCTGTAAGCAAAACTGTGGTACATTTTCTCCATTGTGGAAGGGGACCACCCAGGATGAGAGGTCCTGGATGCTGTAAGAAAGCAGACCGAGGGCTGGAGAGATGGCTCAGCGGTTAAGAGCGTTGCCTGCTCTTCCAAAGGTCCTGAGTTCAATTCCCAGCAACCACATGGTGGCTCACAGCCATCTGTAATAAGGTCTGGTGCCCTCTTCTGGCCTGCAGGAAAATATGTAGACAGAATATTGTATACATAATAAGAAAGAAAGAAAGAAAGAAAGAAAGAAAGCAAGCAGACGAGACAAGGCAGCACCCCTCCATGGCCTCTGCACCAGATCCTGCCTCCAGGTTCCTGACCTGCTTGAGTTTCTACCCTGATTCCCTTTGACGATGGCCTGTCTGTGGAGCTCTAAGCGGATATAAAGTCTTTCCTCTCTGCGTTGCTTTTGGTCATGGTATTTATCACAACAACAGAAACCATAAGATGTACACTATACCTAACACTGACTTTCACACAAACACTAGTTTTCTACTTTGATTTTCTGTACTTTTGCTTAACCAGGCAATCACAACTATGCAACCAGGCAATCACAACTATGCAACCAGGCAATCACAACTATGCAACCAGGCAATCACAACTATGCAACCAGGCAATCACAACTATGCAACCAGGCAATCACAACTATGCAACCAGGCAATCACAACTATGCAACATAATGAGATGTAGAACTCCTAGAACTTTTCCTTGTACACACAAAAAATGTATATATACAAAACATTATTTATAGCAGCAGGAAAACACCCTCTCCCTAGTGGCGCAAAAACATAACTTCTTGTTGAGACTACTCATCACCCCACCAAAAACAACCCTTACTTTTCTGCCGATCAAAATTTCTTGCAAACTGTATTTTGTCTGGAGTGACCTCAAACAGTTTCACAGAGCCATCTTCACAACCGACCTATTGAGAGAGAGATAGAAAACAGACTAAATGAGTCTTCTATAGGACCACTATTCCCACACACAAATATATACATTGTTTCTTCTCTAAAAGCTATCACTTACCCTAAAACCAAACCAACCAAACAGCTTGTCAGAGGGGGTAGGGGACCTATGCTCAAGAAATTGGTATGTATACTCCTGTTGACTACACAGTCTAGTCACAAGTGGGCAACTTTCTGCATATGACATAGAATAAAAGCAGGCTTTCACACATACCTGCCAGAGACCCATGACCTAGTAAAAGATCTACTGACCTTTAAACCCAAATGGAAACATAAGATAGTATACAAGTTAGTATAAGTGAAATATTAAAAAAAAAAAGACATCGCAAAAAATTAAATGTTAGGGCAGAAAAATGGCTCATTGGAAAAAGGCTAGCTGCCAAGCCTGGATAACTTAAGTTTGATCTCAAAGACGTACAAGATGGAAGGAGAAAACCAACTTACACAGTTGTCCTCTGACCATCACAAGCACTCCGCAGCACAGATGCCTCAACCCCCATCACAAATAATAAATGTAACTTCACACACACACACACACAAACACACACACACACACGTGCAGTGAATCTACAGAAGGACTTAACACCCCATATTTCTGAAACAAAAGTTACTATTAAAATACAAACTATATCAAAACAAAACTAGTCTCTACTTAGTTCCAAAGAAGTTCAGAAAATTCTGAAATTAATTAACCCTGACATTTCACAAAGGAATAAACAAGGTCCAAGCTGAAGTAAGTCTTCTTCTGTCCCACCAGCCAGCTCCCAAATAACGGCACAAAGACTTATTAGTAATTATGAAAACTTGGCCTTACTTTAGACTTGATTTTACCTAGCTCTTACAACTTAAATGAACCCATTTCTATTAATCTATGTTTTGCCCATCCTGCTTCTGTGTCTCCTCTGACTTTCTCTCTCTGCCTGGAAGTCCTGCCTATACCTCCTGACTAGCTATTGGCTATTTAGCTTTTTATTACACCAATCACAGCAACACATCTTCACAGTGTACAAATCTTCCATAAAACCAAGCTAACAGCATAAGGGCAAAGTGAGCAGTGATTTATTATTGTTTGTTTGTATGAGCTTTGACTCTATGTATGTACGTGCATCACTTTTGTGCAGTGCCCGCAGAGGCTACAAGAGGGTCTCCAACTACTGGGAACTGGAGTTGTGAGCCACCATGTGGATGCTGGGAACCAATCCAGGATCTGTGCAAGAGCAGTCAGTACTCTTAACTGATGAGTCGTCCCTCCAGCCTATGACCAGGGATTTTTAACCTTCATTGCCAATTCTAATATTTTGTCTTATGAGTCTTGATACCTAGCTAAGCTTGGAATTTCTATAAGACATAAACATGAGGAAGGAAATTTGAGTGGGCATAAAACTACTCTTTGGAATAACCAAGAGTTGCTTACTGACCAAAAGCTGAGAGCCACTGGGGCTGGCGGTCATACTCCAAATAGGTCCTCCGAAGGCGTCCAGAGCATACTTTATGTTTAGTGCCTGTAGGTCATACTCGAGAATTTCTCCGTTAAGTCCAGCACTAAAGAGCCGCTGTCCTTCTGCCCAACATAGGGCTTCTGTAGCCCGAGACTCATGACCTGGGAAAAACTAAAGAAACATCATAACTTTTCCAACCTGCCATGAATTCAAAACTACAGAAACGCTGTAACACCCCAACTTGCAACCATCAACACTTGACGAGTATTTCCCCACAGACAACTAGTATAGGTTTTCACTATCAAACATTTGTGCCTACTAGACACTTTTACTTCTTTCAGCTTCAAATTTTAGTTACTTAATATTACTGTACTTTAAGTTATATGCTTGATTTTCTCTAACTGGATATGAGATATATAATTTCTTAAAACTATTGCAAACTTCTTGACTGTTGGTTATAGGAGGCACAGAGGTCTCTGTGCTCACAGATGAGCATTAGAGAAACCTGGAATGTTAGTACACATGGCTGTTCCTTCAAGGGAAGGAATACACACCCAGAAAGGTTATCCACCCAGAAAGGCTGGGAGCTTACAAGCCTTTGTGCTAGCCGTGTGGCTAGACTTTTTTAGGCATCTGATCTTGCCCCAGACCCTTATCATAAGCTTGTTTCTCTCAGTCAATCTACAGAACCCATTTTTATGGATTTTACAAGGAGTTTCTGTATAGTCATGTTTGATCTGCATGTTCCTCAGGGAGATTTATGTATGCTTTGTTGTATATGCAGAATGAGTTAATCATTACCAAATTGTGCCGTGCTAAAATATGCCAAAAATAAACTACTTGGGGGTTAGACTCCAGAAGTTTGAGCTAACATCAGATGGAGTTGTGTTAAACCAAACTGCCTTCTTCTTGCTATTCAAAAATCATTTCTCCGGGCGGTGGTGGCGCACGCCTTTAATCCCAACATTCGGGAGGCAGAGGTAGGCGGATCTCTGTGAGTTCGAGGCCAGCCTGGTCTACAAAAGCTAGTTCCAGGACAGGCTCCAAAGCTACAGAGAAACCCTGTCTCGAAAAACCAAAAACAAAAAAAAGCAAAAACAAAACAACAACAACAACAACAAAAAAAAAAAACATCTCTCTGTAGGCCTGTGACAGTCACAGAGTCCCAGAATTGACGGTCATTCCCAATCCTGCCCCACAAAACCAATTTTTCTATCCAGGATTTTTCATCTTCTTACTTAACTAGGCAGCCACAGCTATGTTGTACAATGGATGACTTAGTTTTTAACAAAAAAACCAACTAGGTTTTAAAAGTAAAATACAACAGTATATGCAACAGGACATAAAGGACAAAGGGAATGGAAATGGTTTAATTTGTTAAGGTACCTGCTACCAAGTCTGAGGACCCAAATTCAACGCCCAGGACCCATATGGTGGGAAAGAACTGATTCCCCCAGGTTGTCCTCTAGTTTATACAGGGATGTATGGCACGCACACACACCCAAAGGAGAAATGCCAGTCAATTTAGTGCAGCCTAATGTACAGCATTAAGAAGATCTGAAATTGTGTGCTGCACTATCCTAGACCTCAGAATTCACTGATCACTTGCTTACTAACCAAAAGTAACTTTCAAGTCTTGCAAGGTCCATTCAAACTAAATGCCTTTATGCAGGCCTATTATTACTAATCTTTTCTAGTTATTTCTATCGTGCCTTTTCTGTGTTTAAACACACAAATTGTCCACTATGTTACAACTGCCTGGAGCATTCCAATATAGTGACATGTTTTTGACGTCTATAGCTTAGGAATAAGGCTATACAATGGCTGGCTTGCATAAATCAACCTTCTAATGATATCCACTAATACATATCTCAAAACATACCTCTATCAAGAGATACAACATGACAAACACAAAAGTTGCATGACTGTACACATGCTGAAGGCCAGTGTGTCCACTTTACCTGTAAAGAGTTGTCTAGGATACAGTTCACTCCAGCTTTTTGTTCAAGTCTCAAGTTTTCCTTCCTTCCTTTCTTTTTGAGGCAGGGCCTTACACCATGTAGCTCTGGCTGCCATAGAATTTTCTATATGGACCAGGTTGGCCCAGGGCTCATAGTGATAAACTGCTTCTGTCTTCTGAGTGCTGGGATTAAAGGTGTGCACTACCACCACCACAGCCACATGACTATAGCCTCAAATTTTTAAGTATTTTTTCTTAGATATTCAGTATTTTCATACATGTCAAAGTATTTTAATTTTATGCCTGTTTGACACAAACAGACTATGCTTCCTATCTGAACTTGCAAGACCAAGCGACCTATGGGTTAAATGGCTATGTCCAAAAGGCTGAAGTCAATGGACTGAAGGGAATACAGGTCTCCTTACTCCCAGTCTCTTCATTCTGATTCACTAAGCATGTCTTTCTCTAATGACATGACTGAGGTCAGTAACTCTTAATTTTCAAAGACAATGTGTATGTATATGTGCATGCGCGTGTGTACATATGAAGGTCAAAGGACAACTGGTAGGGATTGGCCTCTCCTTCTACCACATGGGTGGCAGAGATCAAACTCAGGTTGTCAGGCTTGCAAGCAAGCATCTTTACCCACTGAGTCATCTTACCCAGCCAGGGGTTTTTTTGAGATGAATTTCTCTGTGTAGCCCTGGCTGTCCTGGAACTCACTCTGTAGATCAGGCTGTCCCTGAACTCAGAGATCTCCTTGCCTCTGGGATTAAAGGTGTGCGCCACCACCGCCTGGCCATCCTGACCAAATTTTAATGAGTAGGAAAGGAGACGTGGGGAAAACAGAAAATGAGACTGAATTAGTTAGCTGTTAAAATTACCTACAGGAGAGTGAAAGAAGAAAATGAGGGAGGGTGGGTAAGAAATGGAGGCCTTATCACTCAACATTACTCAGCAGCAAAGAGCTGAAATAGTCACCAGCATTGCTCACCTAGTAGTTCCCCATCTCACAGAATTTGAAGTTAAGTAGTAAAGAGGCCATTAAGCAAATATACAAATTATGCCAAATACAGTGGTTAGAAATGACAAACAGAAAAGTCACAACATGCAACAAGTGTACACCCAAGCATTCTTATCCTGTTTTTGGCAATGACCCATTTGTTGTGGGCAAGGAACTCCAACTGTTACGTACATACTTGTTCTTCAGCACTTCAACTCCAAGGACGATCCCTAAAGCTTCCTGTCGAGACTGCTTCTCGCTGCTTTATTACACAGCTCAGAAATGGTCTCTTTACGGATCGTTCTTCACGAATGTAAAAGCTCTGATACTTGTTTTTTTTTTTTTTTTTTTTTTTTTTGATTTTTGGAGACAGGGTTTCTCTGTGGTTTTGGAGCCTGTCCTGGAACTAACTCTTGTAAACCTGGCTGGTCTCGAACTCACAGAGATCCGCCTGCCTCTGCCTCCTGAGTGCTGGAATTAAAGGCGTGCGCCACCACCGCCCGGCTCTGATACTTGTTTTAACATCGGTACTGGACACGTACTCAGTCTCTTAGAAACATTTACAGAATACCTGATCTCAAATGCCAGGCTGCTGGACACTGGATACTCATTTACCCGGCTCTTCTCTCTTGAACCGAGCGGAATTTGCACCCGAAGAAAATTAGTAGTCAGTGTCCTTGGAGGGAAAATCTTCGGAGCTTGAGAGATGGCTCAACAGTTAAGAGCACTTGTTCCTGCAAAGGGTTCCCAGCACCCAATGGTAGCTCATAACCTTCTAACTCCAGTTCTAGGGGATCCAGTGCTCTCCCTGGACCACCATGGGCATTAGGCACAACTGAGGTGTACATACATGCACGTAGGCAGAATACTGCTGCACAAAAAATAAATGATACTTGATGTGTACCCAAAGACATTTTATCTAATTAAAAAATTCCTCTACTCCCAAATATAGACAATTAGTCCACATCCTTAGAGACCAGTGAACTTGTTATCACGCTACCTGCTATCATGTTCCAGAGTTTTCCGGTATTACAGCGTTTGAAGACCTTTGATTGAAAATAGAATGCATACTAAGAATCCCAGCAGGAAATGGTATTTTACCAAAATCACAATGATCTCAACATTTTCCTTTCTTCTAGGGGCCAAAAAAAAAAGACCCAGCACACTTCAGTCCCCAAATGGCACGACACAGGATTCCGAGGTAGGATCTTTCTACACAACTTCAGCTAGTCAAACCCTGACCTGCTTTCGCCAATCAAAGGATTTCATATATGCTACAGAAGCTCCGTAGTTCTAGGCAATTCCATCGCAGGCGCACTCACTCCATCTATCTTAAGATAGGACATGTAAGCTGTAGACTTGGAACTTGGAGTTAACATCAGGGACCACCACACCAGGCTTCCTAAAGACTTACTTTCTCCTGAAAGTAGTTTGCTGACAAGTTATAAATTTCCACCGTGCCATCTGTTCGTGAGACAGCCAATCTGTTTGACTGGTTATTGTAAGCCACGCAGCGGATGCCTGATGGAACATAATTAAAGAAACGTACTCGATGGACCTTAAATTCACCCATTCCTGGGGGGACAAAAAGACATCGTTAAACGTTAACTGGAGAATCTCGCAGGCATTCAATTTATTATCACCACTGCTGGATGAGAGATTCCAACGATCTCTCACTAACGTTCATTTCCAATAATGATATCGTGCCCCAGCAAGGCTCGACCACCTCTCAACACGGATGCTTCAACAAATTAACCCCAAAGGCCTACTCCAGTCCTTGTCTTTTTAGCCTACTGAGGAGGAGAAGAGTTTGAAAACCGGCATTTTAGCAAGAATGCTAAACTCTTAACTTTACTAAGTTTGCAAATGACAGATCCACTCCACGACAGGGACGTGAGGCTGATGGGGTGGGGGTGGGGGTGGACGACCCAGAGCACAAGTGAGCAGCGACAAGACTTGGTGATTTTTCCCGACTGCCTCGTCTAGCAGTTACCCCACACACACCTACTGAGTGGAACTTATCTGCCCATCACTCGTCTATCCTCAAGATTAGGAAGCCACAGGCAGAGAGGGCACGTTTTGAAGAGCGAGAGGCTTCGCCACCCCCTGCGCTATGCTAGGTCCCAGGAGTGACTTCCACTCTCTGAAACCGGCTATCTGACAATGTTCGCGGGTCCCCGACCCCGGGCGAGCTGCACCCCATCAGAACCCACTGTCCCAGCAGCCTCCGGAGGTTCTTCCCGAACTCACTTACCGCCCGGCACTCGCTAGCCCGGACCTCACCTCTCTCCGCCCCAGCCCCCACGTGCGCGCGCGCGCTCTCCAGCTCTACCCCGGAAGTGCTCGGCGGAGAGAGGCGGAAGTGCGCAGGCAATGCTCGCGGCGGCGGCGACGGCGGCGGGAGGTTCGGTTGTCGCCCGTTGGCCGCGCGGCGCCGCTCTCGGCGGCCGCCATTGCAGGTCAGGCCGCGGGTGGGGGGCGCGGGAGGACGCGGGGAATGAGGCCGGAGGCGGGAGCCGGGGCGAGAGCGCGGAGGAGCGGCCAGCTAGGGAGCCGGGGCCGGGCGGGGCGCGCGGCTCGGGGAGAAGAATGGCGAGCGGAGGGGCGGGGAGCGGGCGGGGGAGGGGCGCATGCGGGGCCAGGGAGCTTGAGGGCCGCGGGGGCCGAGGCTAGCCCGCAGCGGGCTGGGGGAGCTTGGGGACCCTGAGCTTGGACAGGGACGGAAGGAAGGCAGCGAGCGAGCTGGGCGGAGTGGGAGAAAGGTGGAAAGACTGGCGGAGCGCGGGCGGAGGACGGAGCAGGGGGCGGCGCGGGCCGCATCCTCGAGGTATGTGCGGGGAAAGGGGCTCAGTCCCCTGTCGGGAGGCCTGCTGGAGTCGGATGGACCTGGAACCCAGAAAGCGGGAATGGCAGAAGGAGGCTCAAATGGGGGGTTGGGCGGAGCTGACAGAAATGCGAGGCTTGTTCAAGGGGACATTTATTTTAAATCATGGTGTTGGGGTGGGGGGAGCTTCTGGGAGACAACATTTAGGAGGGTGGTTGCAAAGTGATCTCGGGGGCTTTGTGGATGGAGTGGAGCTTAGGGTCGAGGAGGGTGGTGGCCTAGAGAAGCGGGACTAGGAACAATTTTAGATAGTTGAATTGAATGGTAGAGGAAGGTAGTTGAAAGAGGATTTTTTTGGGAGGAGGGTAAAGGATTTGAAGACCGGTGGGGGCCCCACATGGAAGAAAAAGCAGTTTAAATAAGAGTCGGGGTAGTTTCTTAGGGAGGTAGATGGTGGATTAGACACCGTGGTAAAACAGTTCCAATAGTAGTCTCGGATAGTTTGAAGGGAGTTGGAGAAACGGGGGGAGGGGGGCTTCCAGAAAGTGGGTGGGCTTACAAGTAGAGTCTGTCTAGGCGAAAGAGTGGGAGGGGGACCAAGGGTGGAGGAGATAGAAGAAAATGGGAGAAGAATCCAGCCGAGAGAGGGCCTCCCTTTCAATTGCAGCGCGCGCTCGCGCGCTCCGCCAGAAAGGGTTGGGAGGAAGAGGCAGTGATGCCAGGAAGTGGAGGAAAGGTTGAAATGGGGTGGCAGAGTAGCAGAAGATGGAGAAAACCGGAATAACTCAAATCGACCGAAGCCATCTTTTCTACCCATTGTCTACAAATAACAGTAATTGATTCCCTCCAATGGAGAAAGCCTACCACGTGATGGGAACGTACCACGTGTGTGCATAGTGTCTAAACACGTTTGGAAAACATTCTTCACTAATTAAAGTTCGGAAGCATTCAGTTCCATCTTCCCTCCACAGCCCCTTTTGCAGGGGAACAAGTGTCTCATTTAAAGTAGTTTAGTCTTTAACCCCGCCAAGAGACAAGGCACCCTTAGAAGTTAGGATCAAACATTCCCTCCAGTCACAGAACCACCATGACACTGGTAATAAAAGTGATTTGTATTCAGTCATATATAAAACGTCCTCGGCTGTTCATTTAGCAGAAAGACACAGAGAAGTAGTTGTCATGTTTAGAGAAATGACCTAGAACAGCTTAATTCTGAGGCAATTTGGTAAACCCTGATTTTAGTGTTTGAACTGTTCTCCAGTTAGAAAGTTGACTTGATGACCTCCTGTTTTTATAGGCTATTTTTATTCATTGTAAACATTGGCAATGTGGGTATTAGTGATATTCTACTTGACATATACTAAGAAATATGTTTAACTTTTTTATACTTTAAAAAAGTGAATTTTAAAGTGCAGTTTTGGAAAATTTCAAGAGATTCCATTTAAAACAGGGAAAACCAAAAATACTCGAAGAACTAGTGCCTATCTTGTACATTGATTTAATCCAGCAGAAAAAGCAAAAGACAACACTAGCTGTTTGGATATGTTATAATGAACTTTTTTCCAGACAGGTTTTTTTTTTATGTAGCCCTGGCTGTCCTGGAACATGATCTGTAGACCAGGCTGATAAAATGGACATTTATAAAACATTGTTTAGTCCTAGAAAGTTTTGTATGTTGTTGAATCATTGAGTCACAGTCCTTTGTTTTTCTACTTGTATGATTAGGTATATATCATACCACATATTATTTTGGGAAGTTACCATTGTGAGGGTCACTTATCTCTAAGATATTAGTAACCCTGTAATATGTAGTGATATAGAGAGCAGAGGATGAGAATTGAGTTTGGTCAGATATTAAAATGAAACGTCCTCAGTCCTCATGACCTCTCTTCCTCATGAGGGGCAGAGAACAGGGTATAATTTTGAATCCTGAAGGTGGCATTGAATTTGACTTTTAAAGGTTTCGAAAACCTAGGCATGGATAATAGCTAGCTTAATTGTTAACTACTTTGATGTATTAGCTTGAATTATTAGCTACTTTCAAGACAAGTTACAAGGTTGCTTGCAGTTTTGTAGGAGAATAAGGCCAATTGCATATCTTGAAGTACTGTATGAGAAGGACCGTACTGTGTAGTGGTTAGTGTCGCATTGCCTCTACTTCTTAAAGCTATGTGATCAGTTGCTTAAACTTTAGCCTTTCTAAACCTGTTTCCTTGCCATAAAGAGTGTGATGACCATGACAGGATAAAATGAGATAATGCAGTAAACATTCCGAAGATTAGCGACATAAACTCTTTTTGTATTGGTAACACTGCTGCTTTTCCAAACAAGCCAAACCTCAGGCCAACCTAGAAATGGTCATTGTCTCTTAGTGTTAGAATGAAGTGAGACTGAAGACTCAGAAATTGATGCCTTACAGAAAAATGTCTTTGTGGTGTTTTTTTCTGTTACTACTAACAGAATTTGGCTTGTTACAGGTTAAGCGTTACTCAGTTCACACAAGAAGGGCTTCAGATTTTGGAATATTTGCATTAACTTAGCAGATGAGCACATTTAAACTGATAAAACTGAAAACTTAAAATTTGATACTAATAAGTAACCTAATATAAATTAAATTTTTCATATTTGGAACCATTTCATGTTTTAGAGGTGTTATACTTGGCCTCCTCATCTTTTGTAGTTTTTTTTCCCTCCTGCCTACTCTCAAGGAGTTAGGTACAGATTAAGATGATCATTTTCTTGCCCATTTTTGTTTTTAGAAACAGGATCTTTCTGTGTAGCTGGGCAGGAACTCAGTCTTCTTGCCTCAGCCTCCCAAATGCAGGGATTCCAGGTGTATACCAGCACACCTGGCTTTTTATGTCCTTTTGAATAAAATCCACGCTCATTCTCCTGTCACCCCCATCGGTTGTGTCCCCAGTTCAGCACTTAGTTTAGCTCTTGGCTAGTTCTCTAGTGAGCTCAAGGAGCAAGCAAAGGAATAATAGAATTTAGATGCTACAGGAAATTTTAAGGCATGAAAGTATAATTTTAAATTTTACTAAATTACTAAATACACAAATTATATAAACATAATCATATCAGTACATAGGTGCATCTAAACTACACTGACCCATAGAGCTTGAATTACCTAAATAGATTTAGCATAAGTTTTTACAGGCTTGGTGGAGCATAGTAACAGAATGTCCAAGCTGTGACCCGTAGAATTACTATTTTCCAGGGTATTGCCAGATGTTTGCCAATATTAATAGAAATAGTTCAGGCAAGGCCTCCTGCATCTGTGTAAAAATGTATGTCTTCAACTGAAGTCCCATGGGTAGGTAGGTATTCAAGTGCCACTTCTTAGTCCATTGTTGTGAATTCTTGTTTGATAGGAGACTATCCAGGAAACAGAGCATGCACTGAAAATACCTTAAATCCACATTGTCTGTCTCATTCTTGTGGATAAAAGCACAATTGAAATTGAAATTGAAATGAGTCTTCAGGAAGTATGGTATTTTGGTACATATGATGCATATATGCATACATAAATATGGAGGACAACCTTAGATGCAGTTCTTGCCTTCTGCCTTGAGTTCGTGTCTTGGTGGTTGTTCCACTGCATACCTTCAGGCTTTTTAAGGATTTTCCTTTGTCTTCCTTCTCATGAGGCCGCTGTTACAGGTGCTAATGCTGCATGTTTGCCGTTTTCATGGGTTCTGGAGATTTGAACTCAGGTGCTCATACTTGCATGGCTAACCCTACCTGTGCCATCTCACTAGTTCCAGGAAGTAGGTTTTATCTTTAGACTATGATGTTCACTTATATGGCTTCCATGTCAGTTTCCTTAGACCATCTTATTTTGTTATACCTTGCACTCATCATCATATACCAACTGCATCTTCAGTCATCAAAGCTTATTTGAAAGAACTTCACCTGTGCAGCATTGGCCATTTACAATCCGTATATTACATACTTGATGAATTATAGTCAGAGACTTTCAAAATGCTGAACTTCTTTCTTTACAATCTAAAAAATTAGCTGTTCTCAATAGATTATGAGTCTAAACAATCTTGCATGTGTTATATTTAGTCATGATACAAGTGAGTCATAATCTACGTGTTGGCCTGTAGTCACTTAATGTGATCTTGCAGTAGCTTTCCACTTTCAAGCTAGAACCTGAATCTCAGCCTTTTGAATTGGGATTGGTATCCTTTCACTTCAGAAGTGCTTTGGAGGCCGGACTTAATGCCACATGCCTTTGATACGTACGGTACTCTGGAGGTTCAAACAGGATTGCCAGTTCAAAGATGGACCTTGTCTCAAAAACCACTCAGGTTAGGGCCTGTGACTAGTCTTGTTATATGTACAAAGATCTTTGCCTTTGAAGTTGATAAATTGCCTTTTCTTGGGTGGGACCACAACCTGTTTTGGTCCAGAGACCTAACTTATTCAAGGTGGTACAAGTCTTGGTGCCCTTTTGCTGTTTTGAACAGCATTTAAATATATTGTCACTGGCTGCCTAATTTCTTAATTCCTTTTCATTCCTTCTGGCTCTTGGTTTTGTCCTCTGGGAAGGGAAAGTTAGGTAGTGATTTTTAAGTAACTAGATGACCCAGTTTCCTGTCTCAGTTTTACTATCTTTACTCCAGCTGAATATATACCACGTATGAATAAGTGACTTTATCTGTGTATGACCCAATAGCCTCAACTTCAAAATAGGAATAAATACCTCTTACTAGAGTTGCCATGTTGATTGAAGATACCATGTTCACATGTAGATAGTGTATGGTCCATAGTGAAAATTCAAAATATGTTAGCTGCTGACTGACTCAGTGTTTTTGGTGCTCTGGAAAGAGGTTCTGTCATCCTACTGGAGGTCCAGAGTGATGATAACCAGTAAGAAGCCTATTAAATGACATGCTGGAGTCAGCTATAGTCCTAACTATCTGGAGGCTGAGGCAAGAGTATACCTGGAGTCCTAAGCCAGCCTTGGTTGTGTTGCAAGTCCTTAGCTTGAACAGGAAAAAAAAAACAAAAAACGGGGAAAAAATCTGGTGTGTTTTTGTCAAGTTTGAATACAATTATAAAACCTGTTGGCCAATTATATCACAGTTGGTAACACTATATATTGTCTCATTCGAAAGACAACCAGAAGTTGTAGCTTTGGCCCCCGAATCCAGTCTCCTCTCTCCCTGAATGGCAGTCACAGAGCAAATGAAGCTAGATAGCATCAGCTTTTAGGGTACGCAGAATTGCCACCAGGTGGCACTGTTAGATAATGTAAAAGTATAAAGAGTGTTTTCTTGATCTAAGTTGAGAGTCACATTAGAATAGCACATGCCTTTAATTCCATGACTCAGGAGACAGAAACAGATGGATCCTGAGGCCAGTCTGCCCTTTAAAATACCAGGATAGCCTGAGTTATATAGTGAAACCCTATCTCAAAAGAGAGAAAAGAAAAGAAGTAACCTTGTGATTTGCTGGAGTACACCTGAGTGTATCATCCGTCTCGCTGTTGTCAATAGCAACTGTACTCTGTCTATTCGGAATCAGCAAGAAAACCTAGCCCTTTAGGCCTTGCTAGGCAGTAGAGAATGTACCTAAAAGCACTTAGAAAAGTGCCTGTCAAATGGATGGATCTAGAAAACATATTGAGTAAGGTAACTCAGACCTAGAAAGACAAATATCATATGTACTCACTCATGAGTGGCTTTTAGACATAAAAGCAAAGAAAAACCAGCCTACAGTTCACAATCTCAGAGAACCTAGATAAAGAGGACCCTAAGAGAGACATACATGGATCTAACTACCTGGGAAGTAGAAAAGGACAAGATCTGAGTAAATTGGGAACATGGGGACTGGGAGAGGGCAAAAGGGGATGGGGGAATATATACTCAATAAAAACAATTGAAAAGTGCCTGCCACACACTGGACGGGAGTGTACAACTCAGTTTGCAGAGTGTTGCCTAGCATGTATGAAGCCCTGGGTGAGGTCCCTAGCAACACATAAGCTGGAGGTAGAGGCAGGAGAATCAGAAATTCAAGGTCATCTTCAGGAACAACCTGGTCTAGAGATCCCTTCTCAAAGGGAAAAGGTACCTATCACACAAGTAAGTGATAAATATAAAGGTGTTTTTTTCTTTTTTTTTCCTCCAGTTTTTCAGTCACTTTTTTAAAGAAGGAAGGCTCATGGTGCAAATTGTTATTTCTAGGTGAGTATGTTTTAAGATTTTACTTAGCTTGAGTGCCAAGGGCTATACTGGTTTCACACTGTTCTGGAAGCATTAGGGTCCTCAGGTAAATCTTATATAACTATTTGCATTAAGATCTCTATTTCAGTTCTCAGCACTGCCCAATTTCCCAAGCACTTGTATTTATCCCAGAGTTTCTTTGGGCCTCTAATGGTGGTGTAGGTGTAGGACACTACTCATCCTTCACCACTCAAAAATATTGTAACCACCAGCCCTTTGCTTGCAGTGCGGGGGCTGGAGGCCTGGCAGAATGGGTGCTGATGGAACTACAGGGGGAGATCGAGGCTCGCTACAGCACCGGATTAGCTGGAAACCTCCTGGGAGACCTACATTACACCACTGAGGTGAGGGGGCTTTTATTCCCTACCTTATGCCTCAGTAAAGCAAGCTACACCGAGGTGGTGCTCCCAGGACCCAGTGTGAGGACTTTCCTCAGGTTTGTTGCTCGAGGTTTAGCCAGTCTGTAGAACTGTCTGCTTGCTGTCTCACCACTTTCGCAGTAGCAGGGCAGTGGAGCCTTGGGGAATCTGCAAGGGTCCTAAAAATAGAAATGCTCTTTACTTGGGGCTAGAAAGAATAAAAAGGGCATAAGGGTGGATTGTCCAGTGCAGTTTTTTAACAGTGATAGAGCCAGATTAGGGGTTGTGAGGTGCCACCATTGCTGCCAAGAGCAGCTTTACAAGGCACCTGAGAGGAATGGCCTTGCCCTCAACCTCAGGCATCTCCTTCTTCTTCTGCCAAAGGGAACCCCTGTGCTGATCGTGGGGCACCACATCCTGTATGGGAAAATCATCCGCCTGGAGAAACCTTTTGCAGTCCTTGTCAAACACACTGCTGGGGAGCAGGACTGTGATGAGCTTGGCGCAGAGACTGGCACTCGGTATTTGGTGACAGCACTCATCAAAAACAAGATCCTCTTCAAAACTCGCCCTAAGCCTATTATCACCAACGTCCCCAAGAAAGTATGAAAGAACCCCGGATTTTCCTTAGAGAGCGGCCAACTCCTTGGACTCGTGCTCCATTGCCACCTCGAGGACGGCTGGACGGTTCCCTGGGACCACAGGGAGGACCTGCTATGAACACAGGCCACCCAATGGGCATGAACTCAGATCCTTTCCTTATGGCAGCAGGTTCTCTTGGGGGGAACCTGGCTCCATTTCCAAGGAATCCAGCTTCTTTTCCAAGTTCATCAGGCTCACTGGCTTCAAATCCAGCACACTTTCCTGCTGGTGCTCGTGACCCAAGCATGGCTTCTTTTCCAAGAGGGATGAATCCCACTGGTACAGGTGCAGTTTCCTTCCCAAGGCCAGGTGGCCTTTTGGGACCGGGACCGGGACCAGGACCGGGTTTAAACCCTAGAACAGGGGGTCTTCCAGGCCCAGGACCTATGTCTAACCCCAGATTAGGAGGCCTTTCAGGCCCTGGTCATATGGCCAACCCAAGGGCAGGTGGGCTCCTGGGAACAAGTCCTGACCCCAGAAGTGGTGGCCCTATGGGCCCTGGATGTGCGCCGAACCTGAGGGCAGGTGTTTTAGCCTCTGGTACTGGTCCTCCCAATCCTAGGCCAGTTGGTCTGGGCCCTGGACCAAGTCCTAATCTGAGATCAAGCTTTTTAGGTACAAACCCGGCTCCTAGGTCGGGTATGTTTCCAGGCCCAGGCCTGGGGCCCAATCCACGAGCAGGTGGCTTAGGTCCAGGCCTTGGGCCCAACCCGAGAGCTGGTGGCCTAGGCCCAGGCCCAAATCTGGATACCAGAGCAGGTGGCCTCTTGGGTACAGGATCTGGTCTTAACTTAAGAATGGCTGGACCTCAAGGCTTAGATCTTGCTCCCATTCTAAGGGCAGCAGGTCTTTTGGGAGCAAATTCAGCTTCTGGAAACATGGGCACAAACCCACCTACCATGACAAGAGTACCTGGCCCCATAGGACCAAACACAGGTCCTAGCTCTCGAGGAATTGGCCTTCCGGGGCCAAATCCCTCTGCCATGTCAAGGGCTCCTGGCCCCATGGGCCCTAATTCAGCTCATTTCTCAAGGCCAGGTGGCCCAATGGGGGTAAATGCTGGAGCCTTTCCAAGAGGGACAGGATCAGGAGGACTGAACCCAGCTGCCTTTTCTCAGTCTTCTGGCTCACTGGCTTCAAATCCAGGTACCTTTCAGAGGTCTGCTGGTCTCCAGGGCTCAAATCCAGCAATTTTCCCTAGAGCCTCTGGGCCACTAGGTCCCAACCAAGCAAACTTTCCAAGGGCCACTGGTCTGCAGGGTCCAAGTCCAGCTGCCTTCCCAAGGTCTGCTGGCCCATTAGGCCCGGGTCAGGTTGCTTTCCCAAGGTCAGCTGCTGGGCACCTGGGCTCTTCTCCAGCAGGCCCTGTGGGTGTCAACCCAGCTCCTTTTGCAAGGCCAGCAGGAACCCTGGGTCTTAACCCAGCTTCCTTTCCAAGGATGAATGGCCCTGTAACCAAGACTTTGGTCCCATTTCCTAGGGTAGGCAGCCTCCCTGGTTCAAATCCAGCTGCTTTCCCCAGACCTGGGGGCCCAATGGCTGCGATGTACCCAAATGGAATGTTACCCCCTTAAATACCATTTTTCTTCCAGGGCCACTTCGTTTTTCAAATACTGTGGTTCTGGTCTGGGACTGTCTCTTAGATAAAGGAGTAGATCTGGAGCTACAGTCTGAAGAACATAGCTGGGGCTCAAGTTCAAATGAGCCTTCTTTTTCCTCTGCTTTTTCTCTTGACTGAAGGCAAACTATTTGTGAGACACGGACTATGGCAGATCGAATGATCCTGACTCAAGAGAAAGCATCTCTGGCCTTCTGGACGCCTGCTGTGTGTTGTCCCACAGCTTTCTGCCCCTCGTTTCTTACTAGTTTCTTGACTTGTTCTTGTGGACTTTTCCTCAGGGATGCACTGGCCTGCAGGTCCTAATTCCCCCGTTCACCACTGGAGAATTTGCTCACTTTCTGTCTAGTGATGCTGCATTGGTGAGCGGACCATGCTTCAGTAACTCTGGCCTGGTCACCCTGGACCTGGTCATGTTCTGCTGCCAGACCTTTCCCTGGGGGCTTGAACACAGAACGGAGAGGTGGACACTCAAGTCACAGATCCACACATTTCTGCTTGACTGGACCTGCAGCTCCTTTCTCCTGGGACTTAGGTGCCAGATTTAAGGCTCCTCTGATCATCCAGCTCCCTCTCCACTGGTACTCCCAATCAAAGAACCTCAAAACTTAAACTGATGTGGATGGGAATTGGGGAATTAGGGTGGGGGTGGAGGGATGAAAGGGAGAATCACTGTGCTTTGTTCGGCCTGATGTGAAGGATGGTTGGTGTTTTTCCTGCATTGTCTCTTTTCTTACTGTTTCTTTAATAAATGGGATGAGAGGGCTGTTGCGGTCATTCCATTTTGTTCTCTTCCACAGTGGGCACGTTTAACCTCTGCTTGTCTTTGTTTTGGTGCGACAACAACCTTGTATCCAACATGCTTGCATTTGAACGGTAAGCTTTGGTTTAGCCGTCACTCTTCTGTTTCTGTTTTGTGGAGTAATTGGAGGAGAGCTGGCATTTTTTGGTTGGGAGACTGCATCTGATCGTTATTTCACGAGCCTGAGATTCACTGATACTGTGTATGCATGAGCATTCACGCATGTGCCGTGTTAGAGTGGCCTAAGTGACTTAATTCCCAAAATTGATGCAAGTGTGACAACTTGCCCGGTTTTTGAATTTTTTTAAATTAGCATTTTGTTTTTAATATCTTCCCGCTTCCTTTTTTTTTAAGATTTATTTATTATTTATTTATTTATACAGTATCCTGCCTATAGGCCAGAAGAAGGCACCAGATCTCATTATAGGTGGTTGTGAGCCACCATGTAGTTGCTGGGAATTGAACTCAGGACCTCTGGAAGAGCAGTCAGTGCTCTTAACCACCAAGCCATCTCTCCAGCCCAGCATTTTAAATATTTGAGTGGTGTGTGTGCACTCATAATGGTTTTGCACGTCTGGGAGTCAGAGGACTGTAGGGGGTGGGGCAGTGGTCATCTGCCATGAATCCCAAGGATTGAACTCAGGTCATCAGGCTTGGTAGTAGTTTCTTTTACTCCTGGGCCATCATCTTGCTGGCCTCTTATCCTACTTCTGAATTCTACTGTTACCATTTCTATCATTAGTCCTTTTAAAACTAGAGTAGGAATCAGGTTTATTAAGTACAGGAGGACATAGCTCTGAGATTCCAGCGGTTTCTTTAGATCTAAACTTCTAACCTCGTGTGTTGAAGACTTGGTCCCCAGTGAAGCTCTATAGTAGAGGTAAGAGATGGATTCTTGGACATCGGTGGAGAAACAGCTCTGCTGATAGTCATGGTGTAGGAGGCTAATTGGTAAGTGACGCAGGCTTTAGGCAGAGCACATCTGGAGAGAGTTAGTCATATGAACATAGCTTGGAGAGGTGTGATTTGTCCCTGGCTTCCTCTAGCTCTGTGATACTCTGCCTCACCAAGTACCCAGAACAGTAAAGTGATAGGACACCAAAAGTGTGAGCCAGGGTGAACCTTCCTCCAGAAGCTCACCTGGGTGCTTTGTCACAGCGATGGACACACCAGCATTGTGGAAGAGTTTTTATTTTGATAAGTTCAGTAAAAAAAAATTGTTGACCTGAAAACAGCAAAAAGCTAATCTCCAAGGACAATGAAAACGACGGCGTTAGAAGCAACCGCTCATGGTTGCCAGCAACAAGTTGGCAGCTGCCTTGTCACCCAGAATTGTTTGCATTTCATGGCATCAGGGCTTGGTGGTGGCCCAATAAGGCCAATTTAGCACTAACTGTGGGGTCATTGAGCTCCTTTGAGAGAAAGGTGGCTAGAACCAGTGGTGGCTGGTACAGGCACACCATCAAGCTGCCATAGCAACATCAGGAATACAAGAAGCACCAGAATGGCACCTGCAGTCAACAGAGGTGAGGGTGGGGGAGGGGGGTTGGAAGCTCAGGTCCCTAATGGTGCTGCTGCACAGCACTCTGAGCAGTAGAGAAGCCAGAAAGTGTGATGTCCCATCCAGCTCAGAAGATGCTATTACTCAGCCTTCAAACTGACTCAGCCAAGTCCAGCCAAGGTGAGGTTGAAACTCTTGAAGGCCAGTGTTAAGAGGAGCTTACAGCAGCCAAGGTTTCAATCCCATGGCCTTTAGAGAGAGCTACAAGAAAGGCACTCCTGAGCCAGAAGTTGGGGGAGTATGATCCCTGCCTTGGGGAGCACCAAAGCTTGGATGGTGAGGAGCTATAGAAGACTTGGCAGAGTAGAGGACTAAGCTGGTGGAAGAGCTAGATAAGAGATCGGCATCAGTGCTGGTGAAGGAGTTTGCTTGAGACCTGCAGGACCTCACTGAGGAGCATGCCATTAATTCCAAGGAGAGACAGATCTTTAAGGACAAAGGAGTGGTACAGGAGGAGGAAGGTGTGCTGCAGGGGAACGTGAGCCTGGCGGGTGAAAAGTTGGCCAAGAAGAACGTGGGACTGTGGAAATAGCCCTAGCACCTGCTTTGTACCAAACCCCACCATGCAAGTGGTCTTCACACAGCAAAACCTTTGCTCTTTGGTAACCAGATAAGATGGGGAATTGGAGAGGAACGGACTTGACACTTTCCATGTGAACTAGAGTGATAAACCAATGGTCTCATGAGTGAGAATTGGCAGAACTGGGTCAGCCTGCAACTGTAACTTTAAGTTCAGCAGGGCCTCAGCTTCTCAGTATTTCACACTCAAGGAGATGGTGACCTTTAAGATGACAAAGGGAAGAAAGTCCTCAGAGTGGTAGTGCTAGAGGATGACATAGAGCCTCTTAAGCATTAGACTCAAAAAAAGGGACTTAGGTTCCATACTGCTAAACAAAGGTCAGCACCAATTACCCAGAGTGGAGAGGTGGTCCTGGATAAAGAGGAGCCAGTATCTTGAGCCTGCATCCTCACTAGATGATGCTGGA